AGTCATATTTTCCATCTTGATAATATGGGATTCACAGCAGAAGCCAGAGTGTTGCAGACATCAGAATGCGTTCGAGTACAATATATTATATAAAATGTTTAGCCAATATTCGACCAATAGGGGCAAAATTAGTTAAAATTTCATCTAAAGAAACTTAAACAATTATCCAGAACGTTATACTATTTAAGATTTTGACCGCAGAGAGGAATGTATTTTTACACCCATCCCTATTATCCTAGGACAGCTTTTTAAGTTTACATTCTATCAATAGCATAGTTAATAATAATTTTTAATTTACTTGCAAAGCAGATGATGAGCATTATGATAATACAATACAAAAATCATCATTATCAAACATGTTATGTAAAATAAGATTATGTAAATACATTGTTGCTAATTGACCCATTCAAATTATGGTTGAATCATACAAATTTTTTAGCCGGTAATGTTTTATCTAAAGAAAAATCGGTAGATCAGGATGCTAAATTTAATGATTTAATTTACTACAAAACTTTAATTTATCAAATATTAAGTCCTCATCGAAGTCCAATTGACATAGCAAATTTAAATAGTTCTATAGGTATATTATGAAAAAGAACTTCAAAATGAAAATTTGTCAATAATTGAAAATCAACTTATATAAAAATATATTTATATTACAGTAGAACCTCGATTAACCGTCAGTCTCGGACCCAGAGCTTTGACGGATAATCGAAAAGACGGTTTAACGAGCAACAAAAATTTAGTCATACATACATATTATTTATTATTTATTTTTAGTAATTATGACATACATATTGATATAATTAGGTACTATTACTTATTGGTACATTATTAGTATTATTTTTTAATTTATTAAAAAGTTTTGTTATTTACAATTACATGCATACTTAACAATTAATATTATAAAAATCGGTTAATTTTTGTTGTTTAAACATATTTCGTGTTTTTTTGGCTGTCATATCTCTAATTCTTCGAAGCAGTAATAGCTGAGTCGTATCAGCTTCAGTTTGTTGTTCAAACCATTCAAAACACTTGCCGGAAAGTTTCGGATTTTATATATGAATTATTATTTATAACCTACTCATACACAAGTGGCCTGACGGTTAATCGAGAAAGACGGTTAATCGGGGGACGGGATAATCGAGGTTCTACTGTACAATAAAATTTTAGAAAATATTAATTCACAAAATGGTGGTTTATTTTCTTTAGATGTCCCAGGTGGCACAGGAAAACATTATGTGTACTAAATTTAATTAAAAATGAAAAATTAGAGCTTCAATATAAAAAGTAAGGGCTTGAATATGGAAAAAAGTTAATAGAAAAATTAATTTCAAATAGTTAATTATTATTTACTATTTATTATTAAATACTGTTTTTTTTCTTTTATGAAATTGTATATTAACAAACACATTGATAAATAAACACTTTACTTATAAATACTTAATACCTACAATGCGTGTTAAATTATTATAACAAATGTGTTATATTTAGTATTTTTTATTAACTGCAGGTGTTGCAGTTGTTGTGGTTTAAAAATTTTTCCAAAAAATGACTTTTATTACATAAATTTAAAAAATTAAGATATAATCATGTTTATTTTCAGTGTTTAAAAGTATTCATATAAATATATGAACAAAAAAAAAAACAAAATAAATACTTATTGAAGTAAAATTGTAACCGTATAATACAATTTAGCATATGGTGTTAACGAGGTCAATGAGGTTCTCTTTTTAGAATATTATTTTTCATCCAACTAACTTTTATTCAAATTAATGTTAATTAAAAATATTGAAACAATTAAGTATTGAAAATATATATCTACTTAATATAAATATTATGCCTAATTATAAAATGTGTTATTTATTATTTAGACAATTATTTATAGTAGTTTATTTTAAGGTATCAAAAGTAGGTAGTGTAACATTCCATTATATGAATTATAATAATTATATAAATGGACAATGAATTATAAACATTTTAATCACTAATCAGTGAAATAACTGACAAGGCTATCCCAGTAAGTATTTGTAGTTTGTAAACAATTTATTGAATAAAATAATTTGGCCCGTGTATTTTTAAGTTAAATTTATCAGTGGCAAATTTCTATGGATACCCATAACTGTAAAATATATATATAAATAGATACAATTAAATTATATATTTAATATATTTAAATATTATAGATAAACTAAAAAATTAAACTACCCTCATAAGTCATGACAATATTTACATAAATGGGCAGCTAGTACTGTATGTATAATAATATTATAAAATCAATTATATTTTATAACCATTACCAAAATATTGAGATACCAAACCGATTGATAGGTATCAAATCAATTGATGTCTAGCCGGTTGCTTGTTTCTAATAAAACAATAATCATTATGAGCTATCACTGTGAGCTAATGAGCTGGTGGCCCGGTGCTTAAACTTATAAATGTGTTTAATTGCATTAGTACTAATAACTACTAAGTTACTTAAGTAACTGTGTTCGAGTTAACTAATCGAGTTTTCGATCAGAGAATTTGCCTAGTTATCAATTTCAATGGTGGTTTTTGAGCAAATATTGTTTGAATGGTGTATTGAAGAGGTAATTTTTTTAATAATAAGGAATAGGTAACTAAAGAAAATATTACGATTTTTGCTGGCGATTTTGTATTTTTCGTTATAATTTGGTCAAAAAAAATCGTAGCTTGGACACTCAAATGGAGTAGTGATGTGAAGGTGATATATTCCCCCATTACCTCATATTTCTTAAATATTTAAATTAATATATAGGGTGATTTTTAAACATGCTCACCCAAATACTCAATAACGCGGCCATTTGCACATGGACGTTTAGACGTGGCTATTTGGGCACTAGGACATTTAGCTGTTTAGACGTGAGTACATTTGGAGGAAAACAAAATGAAAATAATAATAATATTGTTATAATTATTTTGTTCAGGTTGTCTGACGTTATTTAAATTAGTATAGTTACATATAAAAATAAAATACAAAATATAAAAATGTATGTTTCAAGTTACTGTAGTATCCCTTTTAAAATTAATCTAATTTTTTAATTTTTAGAAGTTCTATTTTCTTTTTGTAATTAATTATAATAAAAATCTCTACCGACTTGTACTTTTAGAAGTCTGTGAAGTAATATTTTAAAAAAACCATAATCTACAAATCCATGTCTAGTGTTCCATTGACAGCTTCAGCGTGATTATTGATTCTGTTTCTTACATTCAAAACTAGTATACATGATGCAAATATTTGGTGGAAATAAAGGTAATAAACGTGCGACATTATTTCTAAATGTTAATTCTTGTATAACTTGTGCTTTACATTCATGTTTATATTTACATAGGTAAAACTTTTCAAATGAGTCAGAACTTAGTCTATCATATAGATATATATACAGAGTGATCACAATTTTATGTTATAACAATTTTCTCCCGTAAATATTCAAAATAGAGACAAATGTTTAGCACAACATTGTTTTTATCTATAAAAACCTAAAATAATTTGTAAATTATTTTTGTTTTGCTGAATTTTCCGGGGGGGGGGGGTTGGATGTTAACTTTTGAAATTCAAATGGAAAACTGTATAAAAAAATTCCATAAACAAATGGAGTAATATTTTAAATACATTTCGATGCAAAAATTTTTGATTTTCATCAATCCGTTAACAAGATATTAAACTTTTTAATTTAGGAATAATATTACCGATGTGGTGGTTGCTTGTGTAGTGGCACGGCACAGCGCGCGTCCTTTGAATAGTGGAACACTATTCTGCCCCTTTCTAAACTAAAAAGTTGAATATCTCGTCAACGGGCTGACAGGAATTAAATATTTCAACACGAAAATTTAACGATTACGAAAAACGATCCGGGCGGAGTTGGGTTATACATGTTTTGAAAGGTCGTAATATTTTTGTCAAAATGTGATTTTAAAACTTATAAAAACCAATCAAATACTGCGTTAAATTAAACTTTTTTTGACCATCGAGTATAACTTATATAGAACCTCCTATTAAATCTCCAAGCATTTCTGTTATGTCTAACAATTTATTCATTTACAGATTACAGAGTACTTCCTATGTTCCGAATCTAAAAACATAATAAAACTTTATATAATGAATATGTAAACATTGCGCAAGCGGTGTACGATGTTTTTGTGTACCCAATAGTAGTATACAACATTGTGACACATGAATAAGATGGGTAACTGAGTTTGACAAGTGGAAGGGAAACTATATTCAATAATATATTTAAAATGTTAAAAATATTTGTTACTATTTCTGTGACTAATTGTTCTTGTGAAAGAACATTCTCAAATTTAAGTTTAATTAAAACTTGACACTGATAATAGGTACTAGGTAGTATTTAAAATCATTTTTTTATATATATTGAATTACTCGATTACTCCATTAATTTTTAAAGTATATTTTATAACGTGTGGGACCCGTACGTCGAAAAAATAGTTCTTTTTGTTGTAGGTACCAGCTGACGGGGTCGTTGCGGTTGTGGCGTAGACGTCATTATTGACGATAACGATCGGTGCCGCTGCCGTGCCGATGGGAGTGTCTGTGGTGTCAAAATTGCTGGATCGCCGCCCTACACAAATACCCTTGGGCCCTGGAATTTTACGGAATATTTATAGAAATAAACACCTACCTAGTCAACAACAAAATCGACCATTACTTTAACGGACTGTACGTCTCAAACAGTGTGTCGTACCTTGTACGTCTCACACAGTGTGTTATACCTTGTACGTCTCACGCAGTGTGTTATACCTTGTACGTCTCACACAGTGTGTTGTACCTTGTACGTAGTGACGCCATTTGCTGTTGCCAATGGCAACAGCTGATTCCCCGCCGAGGCTGCACTGCGCATGAATGTTTTCGATCGCCTGACTCCCCCCCTCACCAGTATTAGTCCATACGTCTATACTATTATACTCCATACGTCTATTGTCCGATGTGCCCCTTCTTCGCACCGTATGTTTTTTAGGTACCTATCTATCGTAAATTATAAAAAAAGTTAATCATTAACATCAAAGTACATACTATAACAGTATTGTATTAATATTAATATATGTAGTATTATACCTATACGCATAATAATAATATCGTAGACCGTAATATTTGATAATTAGGTATAACTATTAGGCATCTATAAAAGTACTTATAATTCCACTAACTTCGTTTATTTGGCGTGTGTGTATATTTTATTACAATATATTTGTATCTAAATGTGTCGTTGGTTTGATTAATCATCATTCGTTTTTTTTATTAATGGAAAGCGAAAAAAACATTAATATTAAATGCCGTCGTCGACGTGATATTAATGCCGACGCTGTGCGCCGATACAATTATTAGTTGCTGCGCACGTTTGGACCCCAATGTCCACTGCTCCGCCGCCACCACTGCGTTGCTGTCGCCGCTGTCGAAGCAGCAGCATTCCGTCGGCCATTGTAGCGATACAGTGCGACGGTGACGGGGACTCATCACTCGCTGTCGAGCATTAACTTTTCTGCACGTCAACCGCTAGGTTGTCTGTGCAGGGTGCAGCACAATCAGATAGATACAGCCATAACTCCTTAGTGCAGATTGTTCAATTTTAGTACCAGATCTGACCACAGATTAGCATCCGGCCACGGATATCTGTCATCGTCGTCAAATATCGGAAGCTGTTTTGTAAGTACGCAGTCGTGGCAAAACGCGAACAAATGCCATTGATTTTGTTGTAGAGCATCTCCGAAGTAGGAATCGGTACATCTCATAGTGCCAGTCGTGATGGCGGTTCGGATGTCTGAACCGGGATCACCACCGGAAGCCACTTTAACTAGCTTGGGATCCTGTGATATAGTGGAGTCCTGTGTGGTGGCCCCAGACACCAGTCGATGTGGAGAGTTTAACAATTCAGGTAAGTGTTTTAATACATTTTTTTTGTGTTCTGCTCTGTTTCGTTCATTAAACGTGATTTCATTGTTACTACCCTGCTAGTCGTTTGTCGAAATGTCCTTCGATAAATTCCTATGTCGTGATAGACGGTGAACTGTTCAGCTGTCTAGGTGGTTTCTCAGTGAATGCATTCATATACCTACTTACTGTTCCTACATATTTGTAGCTCAAATATTAAATTTTTTTGTTTCATTCTAATGTTTAATTTATCAATTGCTACTGTATCATAATACAGTATGATTTAACCACTTAAACTTATATACATCTCCTATTTTGAAACATTTCAATTTTAATGGCAGGCAATATTAAGTGCTTTTTAAAGACTATATTCCCTATATCTGTTGTATTTACTGAGAATAATCCTGGTGGAACTTGCAAAACTGTACATTTTATTATCAAGCGATATCTTATTGCATACAATTTCCTTTGAAGTACTTATTTATTTACATTATTTGTATCAAACGAATGTTTCACAGCCAACCGTTTTTATACTTTGGTACTGCTTGCTGAGAATTATTAATACATATGGTCTCAGTAGAGTAGTGGTTTTCATTTAAATTTAAGTTTGACAAACAATTTGTTCAGTATTAGATTTGCATTTTACGAATTTGTTGTTTGTGTCCTTAAGAAACAGTGCCTAGTATAAAATATGTTATGGACTTTGGTACTGTCTTATAACCTAGGTGTTTATCAAATGGATTATACAAATTTCTCACTCTAGTCATCTTTTTGATAAACATTTATGAACACTTGATTTAACAATTTACCAATTTTACGATAGATTATAATAAATTAATATCATGGAAGTTTGATTATTCTGTAGCTGTTAATTTGTCACTTATAGTTAGTATTTACCATAAGTAGATATATGTAGATACTTATATTTTCAGTGATGCAACTTAAGTATAAATAAATAAACAGAAGTCCTAATAAATACCTAGTTGATTCTTCATAGGCCCAGGTAAGGTTTTATTCTTATAGCCTCTACCAGGGTATTTATTACAATAAATTAAGTAATATAATTTAAATACAGTTATTTTACATTTTAATAAATACAATAGCTACATTAAAAAATTAACTAACAAGTTAAACAACCAAGTTTATTATATTTTAAACAAATTTATAAAATATTAATAAAAAAAAAGATTTTATAGGTACCTAATATTTAATAATTACATTTACCTATAATCAGTTTTAATTAAATAAACATTTATAATGAAAGAGATTGGATACTGCTATTTTCTTTCTTTGTTTACCACAAACTCAGCATAGCAATTAAGATAAATTTGTCTACAATCAGTCCAATTGATGCAGTGAAGCAATATAAATTCTAAATACTGATTAAAATTCAATGTAAATAGGAATGAGATTAGTCATTCCACTTTAAAATTTCAGTCATTTATTTCCAAAAACTTAATTTAAAATTTTAAAATTTAATTTAAAAAAAAAAAACTACATTTGAAAAAAAGTGACTTTATATAATTTATGGTACACTGATTTTAAATATTATTTAGAAATCTTATCACTTCACTCAGTACATTGATCTAAATGATTGTAGTTATATTGGTCTAAATTGTTGTGCAGTGTATGTGTTAAGTTGTGTCGGCACCTAACCAACATTTGAGGATTAATTTATCTGAAAAAATATTATAACAAGACAACAAACATTTGTTCATAATTTACTTGTTAGCTATGTGTTAGTCAAAACAGACAACAGTTGTAACCAAGTTGTAGACAGAGTAAGTTGCATGCTGCATTGGCGCCTCTGTGTAGGTTATTATGCATAATAATATTTGAAAAAAAAGAGAGTTTGTTGAAAAGACTAAATTTTTAAAGAACAAAGACTATCAGTGGTGAGTTTTTTATTTTAGATTTATAGAGGTGATTGATTTAATAATTTGATAAGAATGTCAAGTGTTCATTTTGAAATTTTACTAACACGTATTGATATTTATTGATAATAATATACTTAAATACATTTACAATTATTATTATTATATTTAATTAACCACTTTAAAGTTATTTGTTGGTACATTGGTATACATTAACATACATTTTTTTTTGGATTATTGATAAAAAAAATTTGTTTGGAACAAATCTACATAAACCAAATGTTTGATCCAAGTTTCACAAACATTTATATATTAAATATTTGTTAGGTGTAGATGCACCTTAGACAAAGAAAGAAAATATCTGTATTTATTCCTCATAACTATTAATTTTATACTTGTTCATATTTATAAAATATTGTTTACAGTTTAAAATAGTTTGGTAATAATATTAGTAAATCTAGGAAAAATTTTTGATACACCCATTATAAAATTATTTTTGATAATAGTACTTAATATATATAAAATTAGGATAGGTATTTAAAATCTTAATTATTTGTTTAATTTTTAATTTTTCCTCTATTAATAATTATAATAAATAATTATATACTAATACTAGCAACTTTATCTGGTGTTCTCCATTCTAATTTAATGATTTCCTTTTTTTTAACCATTTAAAAGCAGAATTTTTTGAAATTCTTTCAAAAAATGAAATCGACTAAAGAAATTAAATTTAGTATGCCTCCTCTTTTCCACCCCTGCCTCTACCATAGTTATTGTAAAAGGTTACTTCTTTGCTCAGAACATTCAAACTAACTAATAATAATTGTTTTGTATATTTCATCCATGTCACTTAGGTGACCCAGAAAACTAAATAAAAATAATTCAATTTTCCCACTATAATACAAGGAATCTTTTTGCGAGTCATTATTTAATTGTTGAATTTTGGAAATCCCCGATGCAATTATCCGCTTCTATATAACAGTTTCTCAATCTAATCTAGGTGTGTGATAGATTTCGTCTGTGGTTATAGAAAAACACACACATGGTTGCTCAAATATTGACTTATTATTTTAGATAAGGTTTATCTTAATATTTTGGTATTTAATTGATGTGTGGAACTAATTTTAACTTTCATGAAGTGTATTATTAAACAAAAATTCTTTTCATTTGTACTGATTAAATCCAATTTAGTTTATAATATTTAATTTATTATTAGTAAGGCTGTGAATTTGTAGTATATGATTTTTTTTAGTTGATTGTAAAATGTATCTTTCTTAACACTAAGTTTGAATTGTGAAACTTATTTTGCATTTTTTTGGAATTTTTAATGTTTTAAATATTTTGGGGCATTTTTCAGTTTAAGTAATAATAATAAATTTACCTACATTATTTGTATTCATTTTTGAAGGAGTTACTTATTATTCAATTTACAATGTGTATATACTTCATATATTTATTACTAAAAAAAATTATATTTTATTGTTTTTCACAAAACAGGAAAGTATAGCAACATTTGATTTGCCACAATATGATAAGATAAGGCTAATATTATAGTTATCAATTATAACATATTAGTAATAAATTTCTAGAGTAAGTAGGTCAGTAAGTAGTTAACAGTTAGATTAATTTAGGTATAATCGTATTTTATTATAGTCATGTTTTACCATTATTAAGGATTTTAAATGTGTTTTATAAGATTTTATTGTGCCTTAAATTCACAGCCCTAATTATAAGTGTTAGCAAAGTATTAAAGTTTAAATTTTCTAGATATTTAAATTAATCACATATTATCTAATTCAGTGTTTCACAAACTTTTATAACCACAGCACCCTTTCATAATTATTTGTGTTTGGTGGAATTTCAATTTCAACTCAACCCTATTGCTTGTTCTACCATAGTAATATTAAATACCAATAACATCTGAAAATATTTGGTTAGATATTGATTGGAAGCCTTCTACAGAATAAATATTGGGACTTCTTTGACCTTGACTATTTATTTTTCATTTATAGTTAACATTCATGTAACTCATATATACTGTTATTAAAGAGATTAATTAAGGTGAGTAAAGTATAGAAGTAATCTGGAGAGGAGGGTGTAAAATAAAAAGTTGCTGGATGTTATTAAAAGTGATATGAACTTTTGGAATAGATTATGACAGAGGTTCTTAAAGTGTAGAACACATACCTTTGGCAGAATTTTTTTGTATTAATACAAATTTGTGTACATGTTTTTAATGGGTCTAATACTATTTTATATTTTTAAATTAATTATATTTGAGAACTGTCTTATATTTTAGAAACAAATGTATGTCAATTATGAATAGCTTAATTTTTAATTAAAAGTAGTATGCAACATATAATATAATGCATATTATAAATAGTAGGTGAAAAATAAAAGTTTGAGAATCTCTGTATTAAGGTAATGAATAGGGAGCTGTGGAGGATGAGAATAACAGTAGTTGACTAACTTGTGTAGGATTCTTTGAATACAGATTATAAAGAAAAAAGAAATTATATACTTTGGTAATTTATTATTATTAAGGATATCATAAATGTTATCACTGATATCATATAATGAATAATGTAAGAGAGTGACAACTGCTATCTTTATTTCTGATTGATTCCTATTATCAATGTTATTCTAAACATTTTCAAATGGATAATATAAGTTGTAATTTATGCGAATAAATTAATGAATAATTACTATAAAACGTTTTTTGAAGACTAAATTGTACTCCATCAAATAGACGTATTTTCAAGTATATAATTGTTTTAAAAAATAATAATTTCAAATTTTATGTGTCAATAATTTAATGTCAATGAATATGTGTTATCACACACTAAGTATTAACACTATCACAAAAACTTCTACTGTCTATAATTGTTTATGGTTGTTCAAGGTTTTTTTTTGAACTTTTGTTTAAATAGCTGTTTGCATTTTTACCTAATATTTTTTAGGTAATATTACAATGTCCAGAAACTATTTTATTCATGGATGAACCTAATGAAGGTTATAAATCACAAATAAAACAAAACACATGGTATAATAAATAGACCAATATTCAAAGCTCCCAAAGTAAGATTCAAAATTCTAAATTTTATTTGTTTTAATTTAATATCTAAATTATAGGTGTGCACAGAACTTGTTCACAAGATATGTGGGTAATAAAGTGTACTCCCCAGAATATAAATATTCCTAAAATGAAACCACATAGGATTTCATTAAAACATAATATGGTTAATACTTTTTTTTAGAAAATAATGTTTTCAATCATTGTAAAATCAAAACATATTTTTATAAAATAATATTTATTAAAATTAAATAATACATAATAATAATACTTCATCAAATGTCAGCTAAATTAATTTGATTTGGCTATTTTTTTATTTTTACTTTTTTGGTCTCGTATTAATATACTAATATACTTTTCATAATATTTGTTAGAGAAAGAAGTTGTTTTATATTATTATTTATACAATCACTGATATTAATTGATTTTACATCACAAACAAATAAATTCCCATCAACAGATAGTCTTGGAATTTGAAGCCAAAAATAATTGTGATACATATGAGAATTGAGATTAAACATGTTATTTAATTTACCAACGATTAAAACAAAAAAATAAAACTAATTTTGTTTAATTTTACATTTCTTGGGTTGGAATAATACCATTTCTTTGGTCAGTAAATAACTATCTTGCTCAGTTACTGTTGTCAATTAATAATAATCTAAACAAAATTTTGTTTTGGGTACAACAACAGGTTTTTATAATTAAGTTTGTGTGTGATAACACACATTCATTGGTATATAATTTGAAATTATTTTTTAAAATAATTTTATCTTTTATTCTAAAAGTCATACATACTTGGAAATCCATCTATTCGATCGAGTACAATTTGGTTTTTAAAAAACGTTTTATAGTAATTGTTCATTAATTTCATAATTTAAATTATAATAATAGAAAACCAATAAATCTCCTATGCTTTACATGTAAAACCGATATCACTATTGACTGAAGCGAATTCTAGCAATTTGCAATAATTTTGGATCACATTTTTTTGCTCCAGCTGTCTTTGTTTGACATCCATTTTCTAGTGTTCATGATTCTGTCTCTGAATTTTATTATTACTGATAAACCTTATTCTATTATAGTATGCTTTGCTGATAACTAGAATTTAGTTCATGTTGATAACAATGTTTGGATTAAAATGTACATATTATGGTATGGTCTATATCCATTGAAAAAAGATTTGGTGGTAATTTTTTTATTATAGGCTTAATGTTACCTACAAAATTCTATATTCTAGGTTAGATCAAGAAAAAGTTATTTTTATAATTGATCGAGGTTCTCCAAAATGTTGCAATTAAATATTTGTAATCATTTTCAAGTATAATATATTGTAGTAAAATAAATATATTTTAATAACTTAATATAATTACAAGTAAATGGAAGAACATATATACTTGAGGCCTGGCGGTATATAACAATAGTTGTGGTGTCTGAGGCTGTAGGCTATAGATTTTTAGATTCATCCAATTAAGCTGATTCAGAAGGTTAGTGCATTTACTAATATTATTTATTAACATTATGTTGTTGATTTGGGGATTGAACACATGTCTGCAGGCCTCAAAGGGTTAAATTGAATAATTAGGTACCTACTGTAAGTGTAAAGTCTGATGGTTATCATGCATCTGGGGCTTGCCCTGAACCTCTGCACCTCCTGAATAGCCTAAGGCTAATAGAGGGTGTGTAGTTTATGCGCAGATTAAAATTTGGGTTCACCTGTAAGTGTAAAGTATTAATATTGGATTACCTGTGTTTAAAATAATGCAACACTCTATCTATGTTAAAGTAAGATATGTACTTATTCAAAATTTAATTACAATTTAAAACTGGTTGTTTAACAAGTTGTTATCCATTTAAATTAAGCTACATATTTCTATTTGTTAACTTGTTAACATCTGTTACTCCTTTGATTTTGAAGTTTAACCTTTGTCTATGAAGCTTTTTTTATTAAATTTAAGTCTTGAATATTAACTTAGTAAATAAAACATATTTTACATGTTTAAAACTGATATATAATTTTAAAGTAAGTTGGTAGAGGTAATTTTAATAATAATAAAATATATATATATATATATAGAAAATCTTATTTATCATTAAAATACATTTATGATATAAAAAGTAAAAATATCTATAATCTGAGACAATTTCACATAGTTGAAGGTATGGTGTATGTTGAGGTGCACTGTTGCTAGTACAAATACTTGTGCCTAACTATGTATTATAGAAATTTGTTTTTTTCCTAAGTAAGTTTTAGTTTTGTAAGTAATTGACATATAACCTAACCTAACCTTCGAGCTATAATAGCTCAAAATTGAAAGCTCTAAAAGAGAAAAAGCAAAATAAATCTATAATAATATGTTTATTTAAAATTATATACTATTCAAATTCTTAATATTGACAATATTATAACTAATAATATATACAAATTACAAATATATTAATGCATTTTTATTTGAAACATCATTATTTTAGAACATAATGAGTTGGTTCTTTCATTCGTGAAGTTCTTGAGAGGATCATCTATTTAATCTTAATGAGGTTTCTGGTGTTTTTGAAATTTTAAAAACAAGTGTGATATTTGTTTGCATTAAAATTAAAAATGAAGTGTGAGCAACTAATTTTGAATTTAAATACTTTGCTGTCCATGGTTCAAACGTAATACATAATATGTCCTATGGTTTTTATAAATATAAATGAGGTAGCTTTTTGTTTATTGGAAAATTTTACTACCGATTTCCAATAAATTAATCTAATATATGGACATTTTAAAGAATTATTAAGAACTGTAAAATAAAAAAATAATTGTTTGAAACAGAATATTTTGTACAATTCTATTACTCTGGTTCTGGTAGGTAACTATTCAAATTTTTAATAATGGACGTTAATACATTATTTTGGTCTTTCTAAAGAAACTATTTTTATTTCATTGTTTAACAATCCATGCATTATATGGTACTGTAGACTATTTGGACATTTGAATTTTTGAAAATTTTACATTTCTTTGGATATGAGAAATAGCAACATTATGTAACATATTGCTACTTTATATTGTGTCAATTTTCAATTTGATGCAGTGTATTATTGTTTAATATACATTATAAAATATCTTTTGTACTATTACATTATGCATTTACAATAGTTGGTTCTAAATACAATACCATGAAATAAAATCTCAGTTGAGTCAATTTTATTACTAATCTATAGGTAGGTAACAACTAACTAATGATTATTAAAACTGTTAGATGCTTATGCATCAGTATGCATATTCACCTACTAAGACTATTTTATTGAATATTAAAATCTTATTTTAGTATTTGAAAAATGTGAGAATACATACAAATATATTCAAATGAAAAACATATTTATTTAAGAAAATAATGAATGATTAAATATAGGTATATGAAGCTATGCACTAAATTATAAATAGATTTAATAATAATTGTATACAGATATGTTTATTACTACTGTGTGAAGGGTGGAAAATAGAAACAAAATAAAAATCTAGAATTCACTTTAATTTGCATAAAAAAGATTCTCAAATATATATTATGTTTAAAACTGCAAAGAAAAATAATTTGGAATCCATTTAAATACAATATAATATATATATTATATATATACCTACCCAAATCACTATATTTCATTTGTTCATAAAAGTATACAATTTAATATTTAATAAATTGCATTTTGGGTTACATACATATATTATATTATTTTTAAATTCTTAGGAAATTGTTATTACACTTTTAAACACTTCCTTTAGTTACAATAATGATTGGAAATATTGTCAGTAATCATTAGGAGTATTTATTCATATATTGTTTATGAAACCATTTAACCATTGTTTAGTTAGTGGTGCACTTTTTATTAGTTTTTTTTTAAGTAGTATGATAATGACATTTTTTAATTCTGTTAAAATTTATTGATATTTTTATGTGTCCATAAAATACATAATTATTATATTGAAGGGGCCTATTCTCAAATAAACCGAAAAGTTCAGTCGAATAACTATTCAATCAAACATGTCTTATTCGATTGCTTGTTTTTAAATGAGTGTATTCTCAGACAGTAATCAAATATTTTAAATTGTTTAAATTATTTGCAACTGTCAAATTTCTAATCACTAAAAAGAGTTAATGTTTTTATTCCATGAAGTAAAACATTTTATCAGCTGTATTTTAATATTGCAAGTTATTACTAAATTGAGTATTATAATTTAATAAAAATAACAAATAACAATAGTTTACATTTGTTATTAGCAGGGCTGTGAATTTAATGCATTAAAAATATACTGTCTACAATCTATATTAATAATATTGCTTTTATTACATAAAAAAAATATATATATATATTTGTATACTTAATCTTCCAGTGGTTCTTACCATTTAAAAAAAAGGAAATATTATACTCTATATTATATATCCTTTGAGATATTAGTATTTAAAATATTAAATTGTTTACCTTCAAAACAAGAATTATATTCTAACAATTCAAATTAAATAATAAAATAAAAAATTACTAAATCTACAATATTTTCATTAAAACTATAAAAGACATAAGTATTATAGACTAAAAAAATATAAATATTAAGAAAAAAAGCATTAATATGAAAAAATCATGAAAACATGCATTTATATATCCTAACCTGTTAAATATGCAAAATGAGATTTCGTATTTTAACTATAGGTAAGCCAAAATAAATTCTAGCCGAATTTATTAACTCATACGATGTAGCAAAAAAACATGCAAATCCATAAAAATTCACAACCCTTGTTATTAGGACCATAACAAAAATGTTCTGTTATACATCTACTAACTAAGGACAGACTGAGTGCTGTTATTCTATGTTCTCCAATATCTTGTTGATAACTATTACTCTCAATAAATCTTAGAGCAGTTAATATTTACAATAAATATTAGTATTAGGTAATATTGTCTAAGTACTTACTGTAGACTTTAAGGTAGGTTACATTTGTTTATTAGTACAACTACTATAACTAGGTAAAATATTTCAGAATTTACTGTTTTTAAAATTCAAATTTGTTGTTTTTTTTTTAAAATAACTAAGTAATTAATCTAACCAAAAGTTACCTACTTAAATATTCAATAGTACCTAGCTTTTCTTTTGGTTGTTATTTCTGAAGATGTTAGACTATTCATAAAGAGAGTCAGAGTATCTACAAGTTCTTCTTTTAATGTATTATTCAAATGATATGTAACTACCTATAGATTTCTGATATGATAATATTATTAATAACATTTTAGATTGTTCCGAATTTTAATTTTGTAGTAAATAAAAACAAAAAATATTGATAATGTGGATTTCACAAATTAATTCATAATTGCATTAGGTTAATGTAGGTATTATTGATGTAAATTCACCATAAAATTGATTTAGTAATATTGTCTAGGCTCATTCACATTTATTTGTTGATTAATAATTACTATATTATTTTGAATAATATTCAATTACATTGCAATATCATCATCAGCCATATTACCAATGATACAAAAATATATACCTACACTAATTAAATAATAATAAAAAAAAATAATGTTAAAATTTATTAAGTTGAAAAGGGAAGTTTATATGCCATGGTTGTCCAGAGATAAAAACAACAGACAATGGATGATATATATTGTACAAAAATAATTTCTAGGAATTTCTTAAGTACGATAGGGTAGTTAAATTAATAATACAACAAAAACCCGTAGTTGCATAATAATACTTTTTGCTATTTCAATTGAATATAAACACTAGATATCAAAATATCAGTCTAAGTAAATTATTAAAAAAACAGAATATCATTTGAGAATACTGACGAATATTGAAAACTTGTTTTTTATATGTTACTTACGTAATATGTACTTAACGTTTACTTTTTTACAGACTTTTGATTGAAATACTGTTTTGATACGTTTGAGAATAGATCTTCAGAATAATAATTATACCCAACTCGCTAATTAAATAAAGTTTAAACCTAGTTTATATTATTTAATATAAGTTTATAAAGTTGTATTGCACTTAACTTAACCTAGGTTTTATTTCTAAAATCTTCATCTCAGATTAACAAATTTACCTAATTAATATTTATTTACTAAGTAAGTTATGTATGTTAAAAAGTTTAAGATAATAAGTTATTTTTTCCTAAAGAAGTCCTAATTCATAATTAGAAAAACATTAAATAGATAGTTTTATTTTATTTAGCATTATTCTTAATTTGTTTTAGTTGATATGTCTTTCAAATGCAATTAAAGGTTAATAATAGTGCAGTACATAATATGTTTGCTTCTTTAGATCTATGGGCCAAGGTCAATTCAATATCTAACTAATAATTGTCTGTAAAAGTTGTCAATTGATTTAAATTGTGGTGTTATTTATAATTGTATAGAGTGATTCAAAATGTAAGTTACAGCCATTTTATCATATGAATATTTAAAATGGAGAAAAATGTAGCACACAAAAGTTTTTTGATTTATAAACATCTAAAATGATTTGTACATATATTTTTTTTAGTTTTAGCTTTTGGGAGTCAAATTTTTAAATTCAAATGAGAATCTATACCTTATTTGCAAACATATTGTGAAGAATTTTTAAAATACATTTATTGATATAATAACATTAATTAATATAAAACTATGTTTGAGAGTGATATAAAGTTTTTAAAAATTATATTCGCAGAAGCAGTGCGTTGTACTGTGTAATAAGAAACATTATTTACTATTTGTGATCAAAATGCAATTTCTTAAAACTTTAAATTGCTTTACAAATTTTGAATAAATTAATATTATTCAATCACTATAATTGAATAAACATTTAACTTCACATCATGTTTTCAAAAAGAGTGTATGGTTTCCATTTGAATTTTAAAGGTCACCCCCAAAACCTCTCATAAAAGACTGTAAAAAAAAAAAACTAAATTTTTCTCTATTTTTAATATTTGTATGATAAAATGTGATATCCTTGAGGTATTACTTTTTATTGAAATTTTTTGTGACAATTTAAGAAACAAGTAGTTCTTAAATTTTATGTTACCATTATTTTTTACCACCTTTATTTTTAAGGGGTATACCGATTACCTATTTTTGATTTTAAATAGCAACTTATATGAAGAATTTCATAAATAGCAGTATTAGTTTGATGTTAACATTTTTATTTACATATACCTATTGACGAGATTATTCCAGTTTTAAGTTTGGGTAGGGGAGTGTAGTGAAGCATATCATTTATGTGGCAGCATAGAACGCGGCTGATAGAATTTAACAATTTTGACACCAAAATGTATTTTGTAACGACTACCTACTACTTTTGATTTTCAAATGGCAACCTATATAAAAATTCCATAAATACATAAAGTATTAATTTCACTAATAGGTAGTAGTAGCTAGTCTTTTCACTCCCAAAAATAGTGGTAATGTAACATTTTAACTTGTTTCTTAAATTGTCAAAAAAAAAGTGAATAAAATCTGAATAGTTGTCGTTTATTGACTATAATATAATATGAGTAAATATTTTGTGAAAAAATTTGAATTATTTATTACTTAGCGATCTAACGAGCCAGCTTATAGCTGATGCAAACTATGCACTCTCACAGAGCCCCACATTTTTAGAAGCACTGCATCTAGTCGCAAATATAGTTAGATGGTAATTTCACATGATTATTTAGGAAAATATAAATTAAAGAACTAAGAATTATTGTACTATTGAGATTTATTTAAAAATAAATATTAAAGCTTATTGAGGTACTGCAAAAATTGCTGCATAGGGCCTCTGATGTTTTCTAAGGCGGTTCTGGTGATGTGATGTTATTTATTGTGTACAATTAAACTAATGTCAGTTCAAAAAAAAATATTTTTCAGAGTAGAAATTGTAAAGTAATACTCAATGGTGTAAACCTGTAAACTTTACACCATAAATCTTTATAATGGATGTTAATCAGTGGCATATTTACAATTTTTGTTTTGTTGATTAGAGAATTTGGTTAGGTTGTTTGTTTTATTTACATGATTGTACCAACAATAGATACATACTACTAAAGTAATTTGGTACTTATTGAATTAGACACCTATGGTACCTACCTATTTCTACTAAATATTATTATTTCAATGTAACTGATAATTTATCCTGTAAATTACTGATCTTTGATACTGACAATTTGGTATATTTATTATTCTATATTAAAACAAGTATTAAAAAAAACTCAGCCGAGATGAAATCAATTAGCGAAAAAGAAATATTATGTTTTACTTAAAATAATGGGAGGATACCTGACATTAATGATAAATTATTGAAAATGTTGAGAACATGTGATATAAATTGTAAAGGGTCATACCATAATGACCCAGGTACAACATTTCCTGGGAATGGTGTAGACACTACTAAGTGAAAATATAATATAAAGACTTGTTAATATAATTTACTTACCTATACAGAACTAAAACTCAAATCAAAACAAAACAGATAGTCATAACACTCATAACAATAACTTGGAGACTTAAAAAAAAGTTTGGTATTAATATTACTTACACCAAATAATAAAACTGATTACTGCAAGACTATAATTAAAACTGTAAGCCTAATATTACGGCAATTTAATTTTTTATATGATGCACTTTTACTATATGTGTATGAAAACTTTTGGAAGGTAGGTTTGTAAGAAATGCGCAGCTATAAATCAAGGTACTACATTACGCATCACAAGTATGGTTATAGGATGACAGCTTATCATTGAACTATGGTTATCTAATATCTACATAAGTTGGCGTACAGTGTTATCATTGTCGAAGTGGAGTTTATAGTAGTTATCTTAAATCATGTACAATGGATCAGAGCCATAAGCAATAAAATGTATCTAACATTAAAGGGAATCTCACTTTGGCGCATGCGTGAAGTACTGTTATCACTCTTATCACAACCTACCTAATGAAATTTAGAATTGTAATATACCTCTATGTAAAATATACTTCAGAATATCGAAGTTCTTTAATTTTTATTTGTAAACAATGATAAACTATTGCTAACGAAATGATTCTGAGCGAAGTTCGTATATGCATAATTTAGAAGGCCGTAATATTTACGATTTTCATCAAAATTTGATTTTAAAACCATTACGAAAAAAATAAAATCATTATTTCCATGAACATTCTCGTTCTATGTTTTATTTGTCATTGCTCAATTATCATAAAACGACATTTTTACTATCTAACTAGATCTAAAATTGAAATAAAAAAGCTCACTTTCGACAGCAATATTTCTGGTAGAAAACGTTATTTGTAAACATTTTAAATAATGAAATCATAAATTAGTCGTAAATTTGTCAGTTTTCATTTTACGTCTTTCTCAATTATTATGAAATAATATTTAGTAAATTAATTAATGAAATAATAGAGATAATATATTAAAAAACGACTTACTTATCAACTAAATTACAAACTAAACATAAAAAGTCTTGGTATTTTTTGATTATAAATTATGATAAAAATGCTGGTAAAAACAAAGTGCATAAAAATTGAAAACAATCAAATTGGTAACACCGTGGCGTGCCATTAATATTTGTCAATTTTCCTATCATTTTGTTTCTATAGTCTGTCCCAGGAGAGAAAGGTCGCTTCTGCGCATGTTTTCCCCCTCCACATAGCCGATTGTCATTTCTTCCGTCGTCGGTTTATGACTATACACCGCTAGGATATTTTGTAGAAATTAAATTGTTATTACTATCAGACATCGCGCATCGCACGTTTATTTACCTTTGCTGTTTTATAACCTCTTGATAATTTTTCAAATCGTAAACTATCGTATATACAAGCACCTTCTATAATAATCCAGACTTTGTTTTTTTTGTGTACATATTTATTTATTTAATATCTTATTGAACACTGTAGGTATGATACAGTAGGTATAATAAAGTAGGTATAATACAGTAGATATAATACAGAGATTTATATTTAATAAATAATAAATAATTATATTAAAACATTTCATTTTTTTTTCGTTAAAATTACAATTTATCATTTTTGTCATATTGGCGATAAACAGTGGACTATCGACAGACAACAGTGCATTATTTGAAACGCAGTGTACAAAACCTGTCGATAGATCCGGGAGGGAATAAATGGATAGTGTTGCGGCGTGGGGATGCGCAGTAGCGCTTCGATTTGGTCGGAGAGCGGACCGTTCTCTCCTGGGACAGACTATGGTTGTATAATTTTTATACGTTTCATACATACGTATAATACGTGTTTCGTGCATTACTGTATTATACGTTTCAACCTTGAATTTATAGTAAAATCAATACGCTCTAAGCTAGAGCTGTATAGGTTTTCTCAATTCTTCTAAAAACTCCTAGGAAAACAAAAAATACAACCTGCTCATGGCACCAATTAAATTTAAAATACAACAAAAAAGTCTTATCATTTTTCGATTGGAGCTAGTTTTCTGTTCTCAAAAATGTTTTCAAACTAAAAATAAAAAATACATCATCTCTCCGTTCAAAATTTAAAACTGTAATTTTATTTAATTTATAGATTGAACTTATGTACATAAAGTAGAATTATTTTGGTGTTTCTATTTATAAAATTAAATATTCTTTTCAATAAAAATAATATATTATTTTGACACCATAAATCGAAAAACATGTTACCACGATTATCTACAATGATAACGAAAAAAAATGAAATGGATACGAAAATAAAAATTTGATTATTTATCACATATTTTAATAAAATATTTTTTTGATTATTGGTGCCAAAAAAAAAAAAAAAAACTTAATTTTAAAGATAGAAACATAAAAATAATTCTATTTGTCATACAATTCTTCAATCTGTAATTTAGGTGCTTATCATTTTTTATGATCATGTAAATGTATATGCCAAAAATATGAATAACTAGTTTTCTGTATGATCTACGTATTAAAAACTGGGTTGATGATTACTAGCGTCAATAGACACAGTAAATGCACGGTATAGGCATGGCTTGGAGATTGATAAAAATTAACATGGTAAAAATACAGAATAAATAAAGACGTGACGGTCATCTTTTTGTTTTGATGAAGTGTAACCATGTGTGGCTATCCCAAAAAGCAAAATGTAGAATACTGTTTTTCATCCAATAAACTATAAATCCAATTAGTAATTAAGAATTATTTGCTTTTAACATTTTTAATTTTTTTAAATAAAAACTGTAAAAATGTATTATAATTAATCAAATAACCCAGAAGAATTTTACTTAAAAGAACAAGAGAAAGCTTAGGTGTGACTTCAATAGTGAAAAAAATAAGGGAAAATAGATTGAGATAGTTTGGGCATATTATGAGGAGACATATCAGAAACAGTAAGAATTGTTATGAAAATAAACGTAGAGAAGAAGACCAAAGAAGAGGTGGTGATTGGATGTGATTGAGATACAAATATGACAGGTGCATGCGAAGACCATGTCATGAGTCTAGTCGACTCAAGACTCCTACTATTTCTTCTCTTTTCCTATCACCCAATTTTTGGAATCTCCACTGTCGTCCTGAATTTCTACTCGACTCAATGGTCAATGGTTCTAACGGAACTACCTTTCTAAAAGAATAGAACATATATCTTTAAATGCAAATATTTAATAAAATACCATTAAAGTCTACATATTTTATTTTGCATAACATTTAATGTTCAGTTTAAAATTATATAAAGTTTTACATACATAAACTGAAAAACTTTTAAATTTTTTATAACGGTAAACAATATTTTAATTTTTGATTTAAACTCTGTATATTACAACATAATATAATATATATTATTTATTGGCGTTTTCCAGCTATTTGTATTATTGCACTGAATTCTATTGGATTGTTCATCTACCAGTATGCGTTTGCACTACCCCGGTCTTATGTGTTTCATCTAGAAAAACTGCACGAGTGTTCAGCACTCAGTGCGGGACTGACGCACGAGATTTTTGAGACGATTGTTATTACTATATTGATAAATATAAATTTGCAATCGTACATTCTAGATTGTATTCTATAATACATTATAATATTATAGCGAATTAAAACATTTACATTTTTTTTTACCCATATTCCTTTTTGGTTTTAACCGTGTCAGTATTGAATGAAAACAAATGGGTAAAAAGTGATTAGAGAAACCTTTGGTTAACTAAATTGGCATTTTCCATGATTTTCATACAAAAAATATCTAACCATCGAATTTTGGGTGGGGGTGGGGAAGCGGATCCTAAATTAAACTATTGGGAGTAGGGACGCTCGACAGTGGGAGAGCGATTTTTCGTGTTCCATCCTTAGTAGTCAATTCTCCCTAATAGTATGAACTGGTGAGAAACTCGCCGTGCCAGTAGAAATTGTTCGGCTGAAAAAAGTGAAAAACGCTATATGTTTAATTCGATGCGCATGGCCCTATCATCCATTTTTATATTGTGATTTATATGGATCTATATATTGTGATATCTGTGTAAAGAAGACGTTTTCCCCACTTCTACTGTCTTAATCCAACTACCCTGTAACATATAAAAATAATGCTTACGCAGAATAAGTAAAATTAACTTATTTTTATTTTAGAGTAGAAGTACCTATTATGAAATTTATAGAGAACAATATTTTGGAGAGAATGTTATGGGTGTTTTTTTTGAATTATGAACTATTAAAAAAGTTACAGTTATTTAAAAAAGAAAAAACTAAGGTTTTTCTATTTTTATATCAAGCTGTATGTCTTGAATGATATAAAAACACTATGACATTCCCTCTATATGTTATCCGGTAGTTGGTTTCGGTCACCATGGTAACAATGATAAACTGACAGATTTAACATTTATCACAATATGAAAGCATACGATAAGGCTCTTGTGCCTCGAATTAAATAAATGGTTGCTGTCTGCTTCAAGAAATGATACGAACAATATTATATAGCAGTTAGCTATTTAGTATACTATCTATATCTCTGGATATATCTAATACACAAGACATGCGAAGTTAAGAGAAAAATAATTAATTTTAGTTCTGCTGCTGCGATCATAGACATATTTATCTATTTACGAGTAATAACCATAAAAATAATTTTGGTTTTACTTTATTATTTTATTATATATTATATATGTATGTCTATGTCTATGGCTGTGACTGCGAGTTATATTAAATTCGTTTATAAAAATGTTTGTTTAATAGAACATATTATAAATTTACGAAATTGATAAGAATAAAAAATTGTGTCCGGCTGCCTTACGATCTTCAATCCTGTGCCTGCTAAGTACGATTACGATTCGGACTCCTTTACGTAAGGTATAAAAACATTAGTATTGACAGTTTCCATTGTTTCCAATCTTGTACATCTTGGTTCGTGGGTTACACAAGGAGTTAATAAAAAGCAGTTACAAAGATTCTTCTCGAAAATATAGAAAAACCACGAAAAATTCTCCTTGATCTATTTTAAATTACTATTATGTCAACTATAATCAATTTCTTATTGTACATTGTTTGACACCACCTTAGATTATTTGTTTTTTTTTTTTTTTTGGATCATATAATCATCTATATCTTCCATTGTTTGTGTTGCACAGAAAATAATTACTGGATCTGGGAGGCTTAGGTAAGGGCCAACCGACTCCCCAAAGACTAATTTTTGGGCACGAGTTCCCAGGTCATACGGGACTCCAGACCGGCAGATTCTATAAACCAGATCACAAAGACTACACGGGTCAAAGCATTAAGTTAGGTAAGGCTAGACTCTTTTCCATCTTCAATGACGCTTCTCTCCTTCGGTGCCTACGCTATGTGCCCTCTACTTACCTGGGCGTGGTCTTGGACATCCGTCTGATGTTTGGCTTACATTTCCATGTGGTCGTTGACAAAACAGTAAAAGCGGCCGTCGCTATTGGAATACTGATGCCCCAAACGTCGAGAGACTCTCAGACGAAGCGGGCTCTCTTCATATTTATCGTGGGAAGCAAGTTTATGAAGTTATTATAAACCAAATTATCAAATTTGTATAAAGAGAAATGTTGATTTTTTTAATGGTTAACATATGCACTAGCGAGTGTGATCCGAAATTATGACAGTAAATCATTATGATAGGAAGGGGTTATTTTGAACACAAAACTCGGACGATATAGCTACATCTACTGTATATGTAATATAGTAATCAAAGATTTAACAGGAATCAGGTTAGTAGCAGAAAACCTGGAAGTTTGATGAAATATTAATAATTAAACGTTTTTTTAAATGGTCACGACGTTCGAAATCAAACTATCGAAGAAGAAGAGAAATATAGTAAATGTTAAATTTGATAAGAACATTTTAGGCCGTGGATTAATAGTTAGGTCCACCACACAAAACAATTGTTTTCTTGTGGATTGCCTGTTGATAATCGTGATAGATGATGTGATGTTGACATGCTGAATTTTGTGGCCGAACATGTCTTATTTCTTTTCTGGATTTAAATGTAGGCTAATTAGAGAATAATATCTTGTTACGTAGCCGTTTCAGTGATAATGTATCAGTTATATCTAATGTAAAGTAGAAAACCAGGCCAGTAAAAATCGACGTTTGATGTGCCAACGCAGTTGCGCAAGCGAACTATTTTGGTTTTCACCACTGTGACCCGGTTGTTGTGTAACCTATGGCTTTTTTATCAAAGTATCTACTTTATTGATTAATAATGCATGATTAACTCCAAATTGCGTCAAATGCTTATGCATGCAATTCGTATAAATTCGTCAAATTGGTTAGCTGCTGTTGAATTTTATCGTTTTTATGGCAAATTACAGCTGACGAACAATATGTTTGACTGCAATAAACGTAATTGATATGATAAAATTTGTTTCGCCAAAATGTGTATTATAACCATATATAATAAAGATAATCAAATTCTGTTTTTGTTGTATATATTACTCACAGGGATGAAGACTACAAATATTTATATTTAAATTCAAATTTTTTTCAGTAAAAAATTTAACTTTTTATTGTATTATTTTATTATAAAAATTTTAAAATAGTCATTCTGTAGTTTATTTTTCTAAAAAATTTTAATATTTCACACATTTATATCCGATGAATAGTTTCTATGTATCAGCCGTTTTAAATTCTATTAATCCATGTGAAAATCGATGGTATCTGGAGAATAACCTAACCGCGTTACTCGGTTTTTTTTACTAAAAAAAAAAAAAAAAAAATGTATTTCAATCCCTCGTCCCTGTGAGTAATATAAAAAAAAAAAACAATATTTGATTATATTTAATTTCTGGAGATATTCAAGAGGTATATCTTCGTGGGACAGTCTGTATAGACCCCGAAATATACTTGTTTTGTGAATAAAACCTTGATATAAACATAATTTGTGCGAAAGATACAGATTCAGAGTTGACTTTTTCAAGTTCATAAAAATGTATAGACTACTCTTCGAGTTTAATTTACAATAGTATTTTGCATAGATCTGTAATACGATGAAGATAATGTTTATCTACATTACGATCTATACTATTTTTAAATTGATTGTCAATTACTGTTGATGGTATGATGTTATCAGTTATCAATTTTTATCTCAATTACTACCAAGAAATGTTATAAAATTGCTTATAACCTCACTGGCTAGTCAACTAAGTCGACTATAAGTCTGTCTCTTTCAGGCATATGTTGGGTTTCAATATATATCACTAATGCGCTATATTATATGTGTATAATTCTGACCATGGATATAGAAGCTATGATCGTATGGTGACCTTTATTGAATCAGCGTTGAGCGAATGTTCAAATTTGATAAAAATTTACATGCTGCTAGTGCCCTTTACAGTCATGATTCTAGAACTTGTATACCATGATATATAATAAGTAATAACCACGATTATCTAAAAAGATTGGAGCATGTGACTATAGCCCATGCATTCGTTCTGTCGAAGTGGTGTTTGTGTGAACTTTGAGCGCTAGTAGTCAATGAACTGATTTAAACATGTAAATCAATAGAAAAATTATGGTTATTCATATTTTGCGCTCAAATAATTACATGAACATAAAAAATGTTAAGCACCTAAATTAAGATTGAACAATTGCATGTCAAATTGAATTATTTTGGTGATTAAAGTAAGTCATTAACTGCTAGCGCTCATATTTCATAAAAACGCTACTTCGACAATAATAACACTCTAACTTGTAAATAACCGCAGTAATAAAAAACCAACAAAGGTTTAGATTTTTTACATGGATAATTTAGTATCTATTATTATATAGTATTACGTACATAAAATATTAATTATAGGAGGCGCTAGCATGACGCGACTTCTTTTGATTCTTCATAAGAATATTTGATTATTATTGCTAATGTGCAATTATCTATATTCCATAGATAATAAAGTAATGGATAGGCCATTCCTATAGGGTACTTCCCATGATTAAAGATAATATACTGTTTGCTGAACGGTTTATAGCAAGGAGTGGCCATATTATTTTAAACGTGAACCGAAAACTGGGTACTTTCAGTGTGACGAGGAAGAGAAAGGGAGCGTCTAATTCATCAACCTATCGATTTTTTGGTTTTTTTTTCAAAATGTGTGTTTTTTATTTTTAATGCACAATCCATTGGTATAATCAAGACTTACCTATCATACTTACATTTATAGTTTTTGTAATAAATTTGTGAAATAAGAGTCCCAATGTGGTCACTCCCTCGCTGCGCTCACTCTGACAATTTTAATCGATAATAACCATTGATTTGCTGTGCAAAACCACACCAGGTAAGTAACAAGAAAAAGTAAAAAGCATTATAAGTGAAATTAGAGATCACTCTGTGAGACCACTTGTGGTCACTCTTGAGAGTTATTTTCGATTAAAATTGTCCGAATGAGCAAAGCGAAACACGACGCGTTTGAATGTTTGTAACTCTAAAATTAAGTCAGATAGACTTATTCTGACCTCAGTAAAGAACCTTTGTTATCAAAATATCAATAACTACAAATAATTATAATAATACAAATGATTATTTTTGATTCCATTTAGATTAGTTATGAAAATGCTACTTTTCGAGGCTTATGTACAAAAACTATAAAAGTAAGTATAATAGGTACATTTTGATTATACCAATGAATTAAGCATTAAAACACATTTTGGAAAAAAGAAATTTAACTAAGATATACGTGAAACGGAAAACTTGAACTTCATGAAGTTTTCCTCTATAACTTCCAAACGAAGTTCGTCCGACTTTTTTTTTTACATTCCTAATGTACACCAAAAAAACACATTATGAAAAAAATACTATGTCGAAGTCTAATTTCTCCCATCAAGTGGACTGCCAAATGCTAAATTACCGCCAGATATGCGGACTACGATGCGCTTAGGTCGCCGCTGACTTGCGATCTCTCAGCGCACGGATTATAGTTAATTTTGCATTAGGAAAATAATTATTTATAAATGTTCCCACGCAAAGATATAACCTGGGTGTTTCTAAATGGAAGACACAAGAACCAGATTGATAATTTATTTGTCAACAACGGATTTAAAAACTGTATAACTAACTAATATAAGAACATTACATACGCAGACTGTCCATCTATTATTGGATAATGGTAAAATTCAAGCATTGTAATTATAAACAACCTGCTTTAGATAGATGATGTTGAGAAGTTATGAGAATATTCATAAAAATTACAATAGCAAAATCGGCGAAAATCTAAATGAACAACAGATGTAAAACATAAATGAGGTAAATAATGTTTGTAATCAAATTGGAGATACTGTATAAGGAGTTTTAAATATGGCAGTTTGAATAAAGTAGAAGAAAAAGAAACCTTGGATTAACAAGATATGTGAAAATGCGGTACAGAGAAGAAAAGTAGCAAGAATGGCTAAAAGATACCAATAAGGTGATATATATGTAAACATAGGATGCTATACTCTGTCTCAAACTAGGAACAACGGTTTGCTCATCGTTGTTGAAGCACGTGACTCGATTTCAGATGTTCGATAATATAATCGTTAATGAGAGTGGGAAATATAATATCCGATCCGGTTATTGTTACAGTGAACTCAAATCTAAGAGCCAAGATGATTCACTGTCACCAATTTTATTCAATATAGTTTTTGAAAAGGTCAAAAAAAAATATTAGCAAGATATACTAATATATTTAATAGTATACGAAAATTACACAGTACTAATAGAGAAATCGCAAGATAGCCTGAAGAACTTATTTGGTAGACTTAATAAAATGGCAACAAAGGGAAGATTATCTGTAAATTAAATAAAACGAAGTATATGGTTTTGAGCAAACGTGATTCTCCACTTAGTCAGTCCTTAATAATTAATAAGTTTGAATTTAAAAGGGTGGAGCAATATAAATATTTTGGTACTCTTTTGAATGAGAAAGTGAGGTGATTACAAGAATTTAAGCAGGGAATAAATGCTATTATGGGTTTTTGAAGTTACTAAATTCACGAGCTTTGTCACGAATGATGAAAAAACAGTCATCTTGTATATTTCTGAAACATAGCCGCTCAACAAATATAAGTTAATAATTTTTTAATGAAAAATGTTGCAGAAAATTTACGGCCCAGCTAATAATAATACTATAAAACTGATGACTGAAAACGAATGCAAGCCTATGCAACTCTCCAACTAATTTACACAAACCAGAAGTGTTCTTATTGGTCAGAGTGGATTCTAGTATCTCGCTCTAGTAATGATTTGTATTTTAATAATTTATTATTTATACAATAATAAAACATATTATGGTACTTGACCGCTAGAAAGCGCCATCAAAGCGGGATCCGACAAAAAGATCTCATCTGGCGATCAGTTGTCAGATCTAATAATTTAAGATGGTCGTTATAAATACCACAGAATAATGACTTCAGTTGTTATTACAGTCAATTACGGTACCAAGTTATTGCAATACAAGTTTTATACACGGACTTGGATTATTAGGTCTGGCAAATGATTCCCGGATGTGAAGCATTTGTCAGGTCCCGCATTGGTGGCACCATCTAATGGTTAAGTATCATAATGTGTTGTATATTTGTATAAGAAACTATTAAAATACAAATTACTACTAGAGCGCGCCACCAGACAGTAAGAGTTCGACAACTGGTTTGTGTTAATTATATGGCTGTTTCCTAATTGACTAGCCTTGCTTATAGAGTAGCTAAGGTAGTAACCGGTCAGACATACTACAGCGGTATACAGTACAATCACATCAGCGTTATCATTGCATTTGTATAATCGGTTTCACAACACTAAACACTCGATCAAAGCGCGACCCGTGGACTAAGATTGCTACTACATTGTTTCCCAAATGCGCGCCAATTTATAATCTTTTTTATTTTTTTTAATCATTTTAAACAATAACAAAAACATTTTTTTTTTTTTACAGTTTCTTTGAATATAATTTATTAAGTAGATTAAATATGATTTGTGTACACATAAATATTTTTTTTATATTCAAATCTCTGATAGTTAAAGCAGGAACACGTACGTACGTGCCCTCTCCCGTTTCGTATAACAGCAAAACGTGTATACAAACACGTGACGTGTCTACGAGTAAAATACTTCGATATAATAGCAGTTCTTAACTATACATTGGTTACTAAAATGTGAAATATACCTGACAGCTGTCATTATATTTTGTTTAATTTGGCGCATTTTTATACGAACATTTTTTTTTGAAACCCTGATAAGAATTGACCACGGGTCACGCTTCGATCGAGTTCCTAGTGTTGTGAAACCGACTATAGTACAATGTACAATAATACCGCGTAAAAATCATAAGTTATGCGTGAAGAGTACTTTTTATCGATGACCGTTTTACGTGTACTATAGGTCAGTCTATTAGGTCTATTAGGTCTATTAAGGTCTATGGTAAATTGGTTGACGAGTGGCATAAGCCTAATAACGACCCATTGCTCGTTCGGTAACCAGTATATTTCTAATCGTGGTAATTTTTCTATGGCTTTCCCTATAGCATAGATAATATATGCAGAACTCTATACATGGAATGCGCTTTAGGCTGCTAAATGTGACCCCTATCAGACAGTGCCATATTGATTCCGTGTATGGAATAAATTCATGGAGAAATTTACCAGGTGTTATATTTCATGATAATAATGTGCGTATTATAGTGTATTTTGAGAATTACATAGGTAGGTACTAGAGTAGAGTATATTCTATGTAATTACCTATATTAAAAGACACTTAATAACATACTAATCCTAAATTAGATTGATTATTTTACAAAATATATAATACTAAGGCCCCTCTTACTTTTTTATTTTTAGAAGGAGTTCTACTAATTTTAAAAATTGCAGCTTAATTTAAGAACACAATTAATTAATACATGTACTAGTATATTATTTTTTTTTATATCACACTTCTTTCTTTCCTATTATTTAAATAATGTTATTAAAATTATATAATATTTTAAAATTTAGTCACTAAGATATTTCTGAAAAAATAGCAATTTTGAGTAGTCTCATCGACAAACACTTGTTCATTAACCTAGATTTCACATTTTTGACTCTGAAGAAAATCATATTGCAATTCTGATAAAAGCTGTATGTCTATGTTTTATCAGGATAAGAAATTTCCATGAAATAAAAAAAATTAATTATGATATGAAAAAATAAGCGAAAAATGTCAACACCATTATCAATACTTCAAAGTGATAATTCTTACTATTTATCAATACCTATTTACTATCATCCTATCGGCTATTTTTGATGTTTCCATGTTTTTCATGGAGTAAACACCATCGGAATTAATATAGCGGCCTCCTATCGGGGGACACTTTTCAATACACAAATATGCAATGCGATAGAACATCCCTATATAAAGAATGGAGAACTATTAACAAATGGACTGCGCTTTCCGTACTATTGACTTATCGATAATTGTCGCCAATGTAGTGTCAGGGTAATTGCGGAGAAAAATATATTATACCATAAGTCATTATTTTATCAAATTTATTATTACTTATCACATATCTATGAAATAATCATAGACATAAATTATTGGTATGCGTCACACATTTTGTATACATGAAAAAACAAAATTCATTCGAATGCTCACCTGCTTGTGATGTGCGACGCACAAATATGTTTTCGTGTGTATATGCCTTGTAAGGTTGGCGTAATCGAAGTTGTTATCAAAATCAGGACTACTGTACCCGACTTTGTTATCAGAGTGATTATTAGATATTTGATAATAATATAGATAATATTGTGTAATCTTCAATATAATTGTGCCGCCAGCGAATCTAGAAGTTTAACCGTCGCGTGAATTAAGATATACAGTATACCGAAGAAACATATGTAAGTGAAGCTCCAACCTTCTCACTTTTGGCAAGGCTACTAACACTATCTAGTGTAATCTTTACAAACTGTCAATATTTATTATAGAATAGTCTAGACCATGATAAAATATATATTATGCAATTTATTACACACCCTACTCCTCCAGTCTAAACTTTAAACTGGTTTTAGTTGATTTTTTATACCAATTTTGTCTTAAATCGATAGCTGTCATATTAAACAGTGAAAACCGGGTGGACTCAAAAAGACATTGATAAGGCATTTTCGTTCAGTATCCTGTATATCTTAATTTGTGGTTCAATTGAATGTGGCCGACAACGACCAATGACTAAACATGAATGAAACCTTTTACTTTGATATTGTGGTGTTAATGTACCATCAGTAACGCTAAAACAAAAATGTATTATATTATTAACAAATTTGTTCTTTTTGTTCATAAATAGTAGTCATATACTTATCTAGACTTGGTGGTATTGTCTTCAATTGTTGTAAAAATCTTAACTAGATCGCGCCACGGAACAGTGATATTTTCGATAATAACCTTAGTGGGGTCGTCCATCATAGACTTCATGTCTATTTGGCCGCCATAGCAACTGATATAGATAATATACTACATATTTAACAGTTACTGATAGTAGTCTCTTGTAAAATATATTGTCCATATATTTAATAGATAGTAAAAATAAACTGTTTATATCATGATTGAAATGTACCAGATTATATATTTTAATCATGGTTTATATTACTAATTATATAAACGATTCTAATAATGAACTTATTTTACTTTTAAATAATTATGATAACTGTTAAATCTGTATCTTTTCTGTTGTTACCGTGGTGACCGAGGCTAAGATTTTTAACAATATTACACAGATATAATGGTTATCACAATATACAAATAGACCTTAACACGTCATACATGCTACGGTTTACCGTGGACCTACCTTGCGCTGGTAGGCCGGAGCATGTGTGGGAATATACCTGTGCAGTATTTTCAACCGGCGCAAAATCGAAAATCAATTTTTTCTAGTTCAAGATAACAAAGATAATTTATTAATTAATCCGAATAAGATACGACTACTCGGTTTTGCTGATGATATAGACAATAAACGATCGCTTGCAGACACAACTTATGCAACCTGTACTATAAGAAGCAGCGAAGGAAGTAGTTCTTGAAATAAATTCTGAAAAAACAAAGATAATGTAATTCATTGTAAGTAGGGAAAGTCTCAGTGAGATGGAGAAATTAACATATGACAAAGTTAGCGATTTTTAATAATTGGGAGCAAAGTTAAGCACGAAGAATGATAGGTCAAAATAATTATGTAGAATACATAAAGCCCAAAAATCATTTTATACACTGACTAAATTCTTTATATTCAAAATGCTGTTTAGAAAAACGAAAGTGAAATTGTACGTAGCTATTATAATTTATAAGACCCTCCTATGTATGGCAGCAAAACTTGGATGACAACAAAACAGACACAGAGAAACTTAAATACAAAGTGTGAAGAAAAATATGTGAACCTGTCATCAATGAAACAACAGGGAATTGGCGAAGAAGTTACAACAAAAGAGTTGTACGATATTTTGAAACTAGCACCAGTTACAAGCTTTGTTAAGGGCCAGAGGATACAGTATTTAGGCCAATTAATGATAATAGAAGAGAACGAAGCAGTTAGAATAACATTGTAATGAAAGCTACAAGGAAAAGGACCTAGTAAATGATGGATTGACATAGTAGAAGAAAATCTGAAAAACCCTAGAAGTTGAGAACTGGAGAGAAGTAGTCCAGGATAGAATCATGACGGAGTGTAGCAATGTAGTAATGGTTGCAAAAACATAGAGTAGTCATGCTAGAATACGCTGTTTTTTAGCGAAATAGCAGATTGTTGTGCAACCATTCTATCTATAAACGTGGTCTAAACTACATTATAATAATCCGTATTCTACTTTCTATACAACTTGTCTAACAAACTTTGGTTGTTTTATATAAATGATGAATAAGTAGTGTCTTTTTTTCTATCTAAAGATTTGAAGTTGATTTAAACTGAAATACAAAACTAATTTATTTAAACTATATACCACTTTAAACCAAAACATAGAAAAATTTCAACATTGTATTGTGGATAATTTTTTAAATGATTTATCACAATTTGAGATTTTAAAATAATGAACGTTTTTAAGATTAAAATATAGGTGTAATCATAGTATTATCTAACGTGTTATAACATACAATGTAATAACAAAATCATGTTCCTAAACTAGAATCGATAATATGCTGAATAGTCCACTATATTGAGAAATGTGTTTAAGGACACTTGTATAATAGGTACCAATAAGTTATATTTTCAATAACTATCTAATATTCCATTGAATACTTCAGTATATTTTAGTGTAAATTTCCATGTAGGAAGGTAGGTACCATAGTTTTTCAGTAAAAATTAAACAAATAAATATTTTATCTTACGGCACTTGAGTAAATACTGGAATAAACAGAAAACCCCTATCCATTTTATTTAAAACATTTGTTTGAATTTACTGATGATAAACAATTATTATTTGATATGGAGTTATATTTGGTAATATAATTTTAATATGTGTGTATATAGATTTTAAATTTTATGTTAATTTGATATTATATATGTTTATGTGAAATCATGATCAATTAAATAATAATTATGATTTTGTTGTATTTATGTACATATGTTTTTTTTCTTTTAAATAGTAATATTATTTATAAATTTATTATTATAGTTGATTCAGATATTGGCGAAAATACTATCATTGACGTATCTTCCGGAGTGGGGTTTAATAAATATGTGGATTGTCAAGAAACATTGGTCGAATTGTCATTTATTAAATGGCTATCTGGTTTTCGGGAAGAATGTCGTAGAACAGTAAGCCTTAAAAATAGAGACCTCTTCTATGGCTTACTTAACTTTTTTCATGTGTAAGTAAAATTAAAATTATTTTATTGCATATGCTTACTGTTACTTACTATAAGAATGATGTCTTTAAATATCTAATATATCAATAAGATTTTGATTTTTTTTTTTTCACAAAACTGATTTTATTTGTGTTTTACATATATTAAACAAATCATCTTATAAAAATTATTTTAGTATAAAAGTAGGTATAATTTTTCTTTTCTTTTTCAGTTGAGCTTTTAATATAGGCAGTTTGTTAATTTAATGAAGTTTGAATAAGTTATTACTTATTGGTGTTATCAGAGGTCAGGAATTATAAATACTTAAAATCAATAAAATAACGATACCAAATAAAGAAAGACTCTAATTTAATATTTGAACTTTTGAATAATATGTTAAAAAACTGCACTCGTGAATTTCTATTGTATACAGTGACGAGTGACGATGGACACTGCAAGTAGATAAGATAACAAACAAAATAAGAGTTTGAACACTGATAAAACCATAGACCTTGTACCTTAGATCATATGCTATGGAAAGAGCTACTGTATGATAAACGCGTACTACGACTGTTTAGTGTTTACGAGTTGAAGAAATCATTAATGACTAGTATTAATGGGACTGATATCTATTGCGCATGAAAATCAGTACTCATCGCATATTTATCATATTATACCAGCAGACAGTGATTAATTGATTTGAACAATTTATTTTGCACATGTGCATTTGTTCCAACTCCCTTTCCATCAAATATTTAGTCTATCTATATTATATTATAATCTAAGCCTTATACTAAGTATAAGATCTATAGATAAAACCCAGATAAATTATCAGTGGTTTAGGTAATTACACATATTTCTATAGTACAATATAGATATCTGTTGGTGATTACAAACACGATTAAAGACATATCTTTAGTTACAAAGTATAAAATACTAAAAAAAAAAATAATTTCAAATGTCTTATTTGAACTAGTGATAACATAAATGTCCATTTGATTTAACGACACGCCAAAACAATAAGCAAATGATAAAGTCTTGATCTCTGTGGTTTTTACTTTTAACAATATTATAGTTCATAGCTTCACTAATAGATAGATCTTAAAAGTCATTTCCATAGAATATCACTGGTCAATGATCAATAATTGTTAATTATTATCACATATAACTTTGTTTCTTTTGTATTTTTTAAATCAACTTACTTTTACAGTATCAATAATCATATTATTAGGCGCTAAATAAATTTAATTATAAGTACTACTACATATTAAATAAATATATTTATTATTAATTTATGACAGTAATTTTGTTTGTTTACAGGAATTTATCCTCAGAAATAGTTGACTGCAGGAATAAAATTAATAAATCTTTTCTTTTAAAAACCTATATGGAACAAGCTTTGATTTTCTTCCATACCTATCATAAAGAGTTTCAAGTAAATATATGTGTTACCTATTTACCATTTATCATATTCATTTAAAGAAATTATACAACTATTTAATGTAACTTTTTTTTTTTTTTTTAAAATCTAGCATTTTATCATGAAGTATTTTTTTTGTATACGCTTTTCCATACAAATTTACAGTACAATATAGATAACTAATGGATGTCAAAAAAATAACTACCTACACATTATTAACTATTACATTTGACTTTGTTCAGATGAATGGTTCCCATAGTGAACAACTTTTCTACCAGCAATATTACTCCAATTTATAGTGATAGCAATTTTTCCAAAAAGAAATCTGTATGGGGAGGTACTTTAGGGAGATTATTTTTCGATTTTCCCAAGAGTTTTTCCAGTAAATGTGAAAAACCGTCGTAAAACGTAGGAAAAATCGGTGCAACATTAAACAAGTATTATTAAAGAAAATATATAAAGCATATTTAATTATTTTATATTACTAGAGAGCAGATTTATATTCTCTTATAGTCCACGAAAAGGCACTTTAAAACATTAAAAGCTTCCTGAAAAAAAGCACTTATAAAAATTTAAAAAGCAAAAATGTTAGATGAGTTCAAAAGTCCCCCTTTAAGCAGATTTAACTTATTAAATAACATTTTCTAACACCACAAAAATGGTTAATAAAAAGTAATTATTTTGTGTGAATCATTTTTGTAGTGTTAAGAAATTAAATTTAATAAGTTAAATCCGCTTAAAGGGGGACTTTTGAACTCTTCTATTATTTTTGTTTTTTTTTTTTAAATATTTGTAAGTGCTTTTTTTCAGTGGTTTTTTAATGTTTTAAAGCACATTTTTGTGGATTATGATAAAATATAAATCTGCTCTCTAAATACGATATATATATATATTAGCGACAAATCATCACTATCAACTAAACTCTGCTAAGAATCGTTTTTTTGTAAGCTATGGTTTATCATTACTTACTGGTATACATTAAATTACCTATAACAGTGGTTGCACCTGTCTCCATTTTCCTAGGACGTCTTATTTTTAGTATTATGTACATAATATTTTGATGATACACAAAGAAAGTTTATATTATTAGGAGTGATTATAAATTTTTTTTTTTGGTGGAATGAACATCTACCACTTGTCTTTACTTAAGATTCTTGAGGTGGTTGAACATTAAAATGTTTTTTCCCATTTTTTTTTAATTGTTTGATTTTATTTATAAACACATTGAATATTAAAATGTGTTGAGTAAGATCCTAATACAGCAATTTTAATCAAATAACTAATTCTAATTTATGGTTCTATTTCAGGATCCACTGTTTGTGATATATTATGACAAAATGAGTTCTTTGTTAGCATACTACATAGATTTGAAAATAATGGCCTCACAGTAAGTTATCATTTTTTTTTTTTTTTATTTACCCAGTGACATTATTAATTTTAATGGATTGGCTTCAATTAGTTGAAAAACTATCAAACCAATTTAAACAAATAATTATTACTCCGAAATTGCATAAAATAGAAATTAGCTATCTGTGATAATACATGTAAATTATTAATTTTATCAACTCATTCTCTTTATAAGTAATACAAATATAATGCTATTTATTTACATTGCATTTTAAATATAAAAATATGTAAAACTACGGATAATTAAAGTATTATTTAATTATAATAATTAAAAAAGAAACATTTTAGGTATTTCTTTCAGAGTTTTGATTTTTAAACTTTTATAATGTATATATATATATATATATATATATATATGTATACACATATATTTAATGGAAATATGAATACACTAGGTTTTTTTATTGCAAAGATTGACAAATTAAATACTTACAAGTTTTAATTATTAATGCTACTTAATACTAATAAGTAATAATACAATTTATTTTTAACAATACTCTATTTCTCAATAAATGTTTTAGGCGTATGGAAAATGAAAGAACCAAAGATAAGTTATGGAACAAAAAAATTTCTAGTAAAATCAGTACTGCACTGTCTATTTTTTTAAGTAATAAGCAAAACTAAATACAATTTAAATATTAATGTACATGTACATAATTATTTTTTTCTTTATAGATAACAACATCGATCTTATGTTTGATGCAATATTTCAATTGTACTATTTATTTTATGGTTCTACACATATTCCTGTAGGATCAATAATGCTTCCAATTTTTAAGTAAATATTTTATTTTACTACATAATTCATTTTTGTTGTAATTATATTTAATGGTTAAATAATTTATTACATTACAGAAAATTGCTTATTGAACAACATATACCCCAAGAATTAAAGTTTTTAACTTATTTAAGATATATTATATGTTTTAAGCTGTGGAAAAAATCTATTAACAGCTCAAATCTTAGTCCCGGCCAGAAGAGAAAAGAGTTGGAACAAATACGATTTACAGTAAGAAAATTGACTCCACCCCACGATTTTATGGAACAACATCAAAAATATAATTGGCCGAATTGGCCAAAGTTGACAATATCTTTTAACAGTTTACCACATATGATGAATATGGATTTAAAAAAAGTTAATATGGTTTTATACACTACAAATTTATCACTCAAGGATTGTATCAAGGTAAATGTTATTTTTAAAATAAAATAAAATGTATTATGAGTAGGGCTCTTCAAATTTATTCTATAGAAGATAAATGTATAACTTGCTGGCTCTTTTTTCTTTATTGGATATATTATAACAAGTTATAATTTTTCAAATAATTAAACTACAATTAGTACTGCAAATTATTTGTTTATTGATGTTTTATTTTAATGCCATTGATATAATATATTAAGCCTGTTTTAAGTTTCTCATATTTGTTTTATTTTTATAAAAACAAATCAGGTTTATAAATAGTTGGTTGTAGTCAATCAAATAGTGAATTGATAAAAAATGAATCTTGCAATTTTAAAAGTATTTAGTTCTTAGATGTATTGTAAATTCTATTTCATTTTTTTTAATTGTTCAATTAAAGTTATAATTGATAGTCTTTATGGGTTAATTAATTGTAAGTCATACTGGGTATTAATTTATCAAAAGTATTCATTTGGGTTATTAGTAATTGTAGTAGAATTACTAGTGATCATTAGTTACATGGGCGTAATCTCTGAGTGTGCAAGAGGTGCACGTGCTCTCCCTTGATTTTTTTGTGAGGTACAATACTATCAAAAATAAACCCTGATTTGTTATGCAAAACCATGTCGGATAATATTTTATTTTGTAAGCTGTTTGTTAATATGCGACAGGTTCGGGTTTCCGAAAACGTATCTTATCATTTTTTGTACAAGTGATATTCACTGCTTATAAATGAGGATTGTGATACCACAAAATAGATTAATAGTGATACTACGAAAATACATGATCTTGAAAATTGTTGCTATGCTCTCAATAATCATAAGGGAACGGATTTGTATGCACTTAAAAACAGCAAAAAAGCGCTGAAATCATTAAAAAAGAACTTCAAAATATTTAAAAATTAAAAGTGGTATAGTGGTTTTAGTCCCACCTTTAATGGCTCTACTTTGAGGGACTTTAAAACCCTTTTATCTTCATTGTTCTTTTAAACATTTGTAAGTGATTTTTTTAAGCTTTTTGATGTTTTTGATAATTTTTTATGGATTTTAAAGCATATAAATCTGTTCCCTAAGAATCATATATAGTCTTTGTGAGCCATTTTACTTACAAGCATTTATATTAATATTTATTATTAAATGCACTTCTCCTGGGTTTTTTTTTTTATTTAGTTATTTTATTACTTAGATACATAAATGTCAGTTTTGCACTCCCTGAATTTTAGCGAAATTACACCTATGATTAGTTATCATCATGGTTACTCGGTGTAGATATCCAGGTACTAACATTTATTGAAATATTATTCTTATTAATCTTAAAGCAAATTGTAAGTTGTCAACACAAAAAAAATAAATATTAATATAAATAGATTCTACAATTTTGTGGCTCATAACATTTATTTTAATTAAAATATTGTGTAGCATAAATTATTGTTTAGGAATATAATGTGTAATCTATTATTTTCATTACTATAATGTACATAATATCAAAGTTTTTTAATAATACTTTTTTCGGATTAAATTGTGTATGGAAATTTAAAATAATATGCTACTTGCATGTTTAATACAATAAAAATAAAAATATACTTAATTTAATTGTATACTTTATGTTCTCTCGTAACTCTCATATTTTAATTATAGTTTATTGTTAGATTATCCAATTTTTCAAGTAGCCTAAAATTTCAGAGCACTAGTGGCAGATTTAAGATTTCTCATGGGAGAGTTTATATAAAAAATTGTATGTACATAATACACATATTTAACTATACATATATATGTATAAATATAATATATTAGGGTGGTTTTTATTTATAAGAAAAACAAAGACTAATATTTTTGATTACTTTACCCTCACGTTTTGTTCATTATTATAAAAAAGTAATTTTTGTTAAATTTGATCAAACTCAACCCTATCATTTACTATAAATGAGTTGAAAATGACAAAACCCGATTGTTTTGGTGTTTTTTTAATTTAATGAAAAAAGTATTGCACTATTGCACAAAAAATGTATACCTGATAAATTATAGATATTTATACTACCAATGAAATTTACATTTATGACATTTCTTATAAATCTATTATTTCCCAAAAAAAATGATAAAATACCTAATATTTAATTTATTTTACAAAATTGGTTTTTATATAGTTATTTATATATTTTAGTATAACGGTTGATGATACAACAAAAAATCTAAATTAAAAATGATAAAAAAATAATTGAATTATAACTTTAATTTTGAGCTACTCCTCTCTCAACGAAGTCATTGAAAACTTTCATACTTAAGTATAACCATGTGATTAATCAAATTGGCTATAAATATTTTTCTATAAACCAATAAAACACAAATTTAAACAATAAACAATGATAATCTTTTCATATAAATATTGTATTTTTAGATGTTATAAAATTAATTTTTAAATGAACAAATTTTAATAATATAAATAGTATGTGCCATCCATTAAGCTTGATGTACTGTTCCAGAGTGAATAAATATTATACCTACCTCTTGTTAGGTAGGTACAACACTATTAAGGTGGATAATTATAAGTTCTAACAAATCATTGTAATCCTCACGTGAGTGAGTTTAAAATTATTGTTCTTTGCAAAATATAATATTTAACTTCTTTCTCATTAGCTATTTCTTCTAAGACTTGAATCATGCCATTTTTGATTTTGACGTTAATTCCCTAAGTATTTAAAATCTCCAAACTTTAAAATTTATAATCACCTACTCTTATGGAATCTATATTTGGCGGTCTTTATGATACAAAAATGTATTTAGTTTTCTCTTCGTTTGGACCCATCCATCACCACAATACCATCTGTATACACTAACATAACTTATTCATTACTTATTTCCATTTTTCGAGAGTCAAGTTAAATAATGCAAGTGAGAGAGCATCTCCCTGCTTAAGCCATATTTTACTTCAAAAGGTTCTAAAATACCTTGTAAGTAGCGCACTCTACATAATGTTATTTCTTAGCATTTTTTAATTAAGTTATAGTTTTCTATTCTAGTGGGTTTCTCTTCTTAAATTATTGTTTATGATTTTATGGATGTTATCGCTGTGCAGTTTTCAACTAACGCGAAAAAACGCACATAATGTGGTTACATAACAATAAATAATGGATTTATTTTGGGTTCCGCAGTAAAATATTTCCACCCTCATGTGTTTAGGTATATTTAAGATAATGTTTCTGGATGCCGCACAATATTTCAACAAGTGTAATGCTCTAAAAAAAATGTGTTGTAAATACTACTGCGTACTTACTCAAAGGTAGAAGATTCTAGATACGCATTTAAATTTAATATTGTCACATTTTGATAAAAAAATAAAAATAAAAAATAAATTCATACAAATAATATTTGTTTAAAAGTAAAGAAACTAATATTTCTTTATTTTAAAAAGTCTGAATTCCATTTAGCGATATACGCTAAATAATTTTTATTAGATATAAGTGAATTTATATGATTCAGTAATTTATATGTGTATACATAATATTTTTAAATGTTGGATTTGTACATTGTATGCATGCATTAGTTATTAATGTGTATTGTTTATAGGATATATTGGATACTTCAAGAAAAGATATTCCAAAATTAATGAAGCCAATTATTGAGCAATGTGTAAGCTTACGTCCAGATTTATATTCAGTTGATGGCAAAGAAGTGTTGGATGCCTGGGTAAGAAAAGACATTTTTTTTATAATCAAAATAGTGTTATTATATATTGGTATAAATTGAATTTTGCTGAATTAATCAAGGGGTTGATATTCAAAATCTTTGTATTAAGTTTGTACCTAATATAAAATTTATCATATCATAATTGTGTTATAATAGTAAATATGTAATAATTAAAATACAAATCGATATGTTATGATAATTTAATATGATAATAAGCTTAGCATTTTAATTCTAACAAATTTTTTTGGTTATATAGTAAATAAATTACATTTTAAATTATTTTATGCATTATTTATGTGAAAATATGTTTTACAGAGATTTTTTTTAACACAATTTTCCAGTATACTAGCCACAAATACCTAAGCTTAATAATTAATATCTCTGGTACATTTAATATCATTTTAATAATAGGTTTAAAAACCGTAAGTGTATTAATGTGGAAACAAAAATCTCATTATAGATTTTAATGTTAGTGAAGTATTTAGGACCTTTTTTGGGGGGAAAGAAAGGGGTGGTGGTGATATTTATTTGTTAAAAATATGAAGATAAAATCACAAAATTATAATAAAACTATATTAATTATTGAACAAATATTGATACAGTTCTCTTAACTGACATCTCTAAAAAGCAGGCGCTATTTTGGGAATGAGGATATTTTTACTACTTACCTATAGGAAATTCTATAAATACAGGACACTAAATAAATTTCATTTTTTCCTTTTGAATAGCAGACAAAATTTCAATTACCAAGAGTGTCCAGTATTTAAAAGTTTCATTTTATATTTTTTATAACAATTTACTGCAAAAAAGAGTTTATTTCGGTTATAGACTTATTTGGGGAGGGGGTGGTATATCAATTCTCATAATCCTCATTTTGTACGTTACTGCATCTGGTTAACATTTTTTTCTCTTATATTTTATGGAACATTAGACCACGTATGACTTTGGGTGTTAATTAAATTTTAAACTTAGTTATTTTTATTTGAATATTTTAATTAGTATACTTTTTATTGTAAAATGTTACAAAATCAATCAAAAAATTTAAGATATAAGACACTATTATAATATAAAAAAAAATGAATTTGATTTCATGACAAATATTAAAATAAATTTAATTGTAAGATTCCTTTTTATTGGTAAATTTGTATGTATTTATTTTAAATTGATGATAAATCATTACAACTTACTATATTATTAAGTTGGATAAATTAATATTTGATCAACGATATTATAAGTTACTCACTACATGATAAAAAAGTGTGAATAAAAATGTTGATGCACTCTCTTTATACACTAGACACATGTGACTGTATTTCGAAAACATACAGTCAATATTATAGAGTTGTATTATGATTACAATTATAAGCTATTTAGATGATATAACATCAGACCTGAACAAAAATGTGGGCTTAAAAATCTAAATGAACTGTTTACATTAGTTAATGATATTTATAAAGGTGGAGAAATACCAGGGGACTTTAAAAAATGTATTATAATTATTTTCTCTAAATGGAAGAACAGCAAAAAAGTACGTTTATATAAATTGTAGTATTTTTACTCATCTACTCTATTTATGTAAGGATCAATTAGCTACAATAGAAGTTTCAAAAAAATCAGAGATCCAAAATCAGAAAATTAGTAAGACCTATAATCTCTGATATTGTTTAATATTTATGTATAACAGTCAGATTAATTTTAAAAGACACTTGTTAGAAACAATATAGACATAGTAGTGATTGGAGATTTTAGCTGACAGAATTTTTGTATTTATTATATCAAGCTGTATATTTTAAATATTACAATAACACTTTGATATTCCCTCTAAAATAATGTTCTCTATAAATTGTATAATGTTTAATTTTGATTTTAGAGTAAAATTATCTAAGTTTTACTTATTCTACGTAAGCATAGGTTTTGAACGTTCCCCAGTAGTTGGACTGAGACATTATTTGCGGGTATAACGTCCTCTTGAGTTTAGTAAATGTAATCAGGATGATATTCGTACAATTCAAGTTAGAACATGGACATTCTGAGACACATGAATGAGCTTCTGTAAGAAAAAGAACAATCAAATACATAATTTAATATCAAAAAACCGATTTCATATATTATAATTATGCGGGGCTGATAAGTTACAGAGCTGTAGAAACTAGCTGGTGATAGTGGTGATAAAGAATTATGAGAAATTGGGAAAGTAATTGAGAATAGTCTATTTGCACGTTTTCCAAAAAATAAAAACAGCCAAATATTATTTGAACCATAAAATCCATACATAGATAATTGAAAAAAATAAAGATTAAAATAATAAAAAACGATAAATATAATGATTTATTCATTTAAATTAAAAAGATTAAAGTCTGGTCAGTTTCAACAGACAATTTATTACATGATCAGAAAAACGCCGCACAATAAATGTGGTGTATGAATTGCGTGGAATGTAAACTGATAAGGGAAATGCACTTGGTAATAAATTGTTGTTACGATAAGTTTTAAATCTTTGATCAAGCCTCAATCTCGACGTGTGTTTATACGCTCATATAAATGTTATAATTATTTATTTTGAAACGATTAATGGCTCGTTTGAATTTCGTATAAAGTGCATAGTGTGTAGCCAGTATAAATTAATTTTAGAATTAGAAACTGATATGTTTAAAGTAGTGTTCATTGAAAACATTGTTAAACAAACATTTAAAAAAATAAAATCAATAGTTTAAAAATATTATTTTTAAAATTAACTTAATCTGTTGTTATAGAAATATTATAATAATAACAACTTATATTTACGGAAACAATTTCAATTTTCAAAATATTAATTTACAAATACATAGATAATTTAGATATGGTAGATACCTAATATATATCTAATAGATACCTATTAGCTAATAGGTTACTGACTAATATAACTGTTACAAATCTTTACGATGATTATATTTTTTAGCTACCCTTTTGGTCTTGTTAACATACAATTATTTTCAAATTAACTTTTTTTTTTAATCTGATAATTTTTCTATTATATTGATCTAAAAATATGAAAAGCGATTCACTAAGTGACAATTGTACCCACCGATTTTTTTGGTTAAATTTTGCATGTTTTCAAATTCTGATTTTCAGAATTTTTAAGTGTAGTTAATATCGATATTTTCGAACACTTAGATTTTTCACACTATTTAAGGAATATCCTGTGGCGAATGGTGATACTAACTTTGGTTTTTCAAGTTAGAACCTGTATTAAAAATTGCATAAATAGACGAATTATTACTTGAAATAAATTTTGGTGTCAATATTTTTAATTTCCGTCAACCTGTTTATGAAATATTCCACTTTTAAGTTTAGGTAGGGTTAAAGTGGTGGAACACTTATAAAACGCCACACAAATGATACTAATCACAATGCAGATAAAATGTCATCAATATTGTGGTAGGTACTAAGTCATTAGTACCACTCATTAGAATACATTTACATTAGAGCTACAACATGAGTTATGACTGAAAAATTATAGAATCTAAGGAAATTGTTCAAAAATAAACGTCCTAGCTTCCAAGGTTAGAAAATAAGTAAATAATTAGGTAATTATATAAGTATCTACTTTAATTTTCTATGTAGTAGGTGTGCATTAGTAGGTACTTACGAAAAAGTACTATATTTGGAACATAGCGAACATATCTATTGGTTGATGTGTGTCGTGTGTATATTACAATTAAAGACACTTCCTTGTAATTTTGAATACGTGTTCATCACCCACATAATATTATGTATCTAATTTTTTATACCTAATAATTTATTCACCAAGAACCTAAAAACCCAAATTCATAAATATACATAATTCGTGACCACTAGTTTTTAGCGGTACCTACCGATATGTTCAGTGTTTAGTCTATCAATACATACTTTTATTCTCTTCGGTGTTACTGAAAACTAATTTGATTTTATCTAAAATTTTGAATACGTAATGCAAATTACTACAAATGACAATACCTTTGTATAAAATGTGTGAATACTGTAAATTATATTTCATAAACATGATATATGATGATACCAATTTTTTATTAATCTATTAATCCAATATTTGATTGAGTGAACGGGGCTTAAGAGTAGATTGGTAATGCAATAAAATGTTTTTTTCCAAAAATATTCAGCTGTCCCGCATAGATTTGACAAATGTAATAACTTTTGTTCTGTTTAATATTTTAGATTGGGAGAGTACGGGGAATGTGTTAGTTTTACAATGATGTTTATTTTATTATGATTATTCTGTGAGCAACTTATCCATCAGATATCTGGCCCTAATATATCAAGTGTAGCATGTTTTCTAAAAGCCAATTTTATTTACTTGGTACTTTAGAAAAGTCATTTTTGATTTTCTATAGGTTTTCATTATAACTGAAAAAACCATAGGAAAAACTGGAAAGTTTATGAAGGCATTAGCTTTATTATTTTTAATTTTGTTTTTTGTTATAATTTAATTAAATTGAACGTATACTTGAAATTAGGACTGAAAACTCATATTTGCCTTTTTTAGACTTGATCAAATTTTAATTTTGCAATTTTTGTTACATATTTTTATTTAATAGGTATTCTGTGAATAAAATTGTTAGGCTTAATATTAATGCATACAAATTCAATAGGAGGGGTTCATTACAATTCGTACTTTGTATTAAAAAAATAATAATAATAATAAGTAATGTATTTTTAATGTAAATATTATGTCTTATAAACATGTGTAACTGAACTTCGCTCTGAATCGTTTTTCATTAGCAATATTTTATTCTTATGTACAAATATAAATTAAATTCTCCTTTAAATTCTACCTTACCGACTTCTCACCTACTATAGTAGTAAAAAAAAGCTCTTTCATTAATTGGCATGGTTAAGTGAAATTGCTCTAGCTTTAACAATCCATTTACATTTCAATTCTTTATCCTGTATTAGAATATATTCAAATCATATGGAAAATATATAACATTGGCCATAGTGAACAAATAAAAAAAATACAAAATAATATGCTTTGTTTTATCTGTTTTAAAAGCAATTTATATAAATGCCCTCACTCTGGATATGATGCCATTCTTAATTATTTAAATTTAATACCATTAAAAGATCAAAAAAAAAAAAAAAATTAATATAACTTTCTTATTCAAACTACTTAATAATAAAATAGACAAAACCACCTCCCTTCTAAACAATATTACTCTAAAAGTAAATAGGCATTCTTAATAAAGAATTATTTTATACAAAACATTATTCTCATAACTATATGTTGTGTACACCTGTAAATATCTTGCTATCTACTGAGAATTCTGTAAACCATTTAGATTTCTTTTACTTTATTAATTAAACTTAATAGCACTTATTATATACTTATTTGTGTTTTATCTTTTTATTATTTTAATGTATTTTAGCATCTATGATATCTAATGTATTTATTCTATATTGTATTTATAATCTATACTATTATTTAATTATATATATTTCAATGTAAATTGGACTGATGTCCGTTAAATAAATAAATGTATCATCATAAATGCCCACTCATCATGCAAAGTATGTCTTCTTAGTTTTTTTTTTTCATGATTTTTCTATTTTAAATTTGTTTGCTATAAGTTTTAAAAAAATATATAAAATCAAAAGAAAAACTTAAAAATAAAATTGAATATAACAAAAATGATTGCTTTTATTAAATTTCTGTGAAATACCTTGTATAATACTGATTACTTTTTATATTTTACTTTTAACTCTGAATTTTGTTTGAATTCCAAGTATTTGTGATATTCCTATAATACTGTTTTCCTAAATGTAACAGATTACTGAGATTATTACTATATTTTGTTTTCAATGTTTCGCAGATATTAGTTGGTTTTAATTTTATTTCTAATGTGATGAATGATGTATGACTTTCAAAGTGAATTATTCATCTAACACTTACTATCTAATCCATTTCAGTTAACACTTTTGAGCTGGATGCCTTTTAGGTTTCTACACAAATTATAAAATTGGTTATGTGAGTAATTTTTCCCTTAAATTTGACCATTTAGAAATATTTATTCAATACATATGGTATACAATTAATATATTAAAACATTTTTATTTTTATTTTTTTCTACTTAATGAAACATTATTTTAAGGCCTAAGATTGATTTAAAATAGACAATTAGAATAATAATTAACTATCATCGTGTTTAATAATATAATAGATGCAAGTGTTTTTTTTTTTATTAGTATATGGAATCTTCTAGGACTCTTATTAGAGTATATTATATTTTTAATATCTAAATAATTTGACTTTGTATACTACTTTTTCATTAGTTAATCTTTTAAATTTAATTATAATACTCAGTAATACATCAAAATGTTAATTTATAAGTATGCCTTATAATGTGAGACCATGTGTAAGCATATGATAACAATTCACTATGAATCAAATTTTTGTAGTGTATACTAATTCTTATGTTTAAGTATTTAGTTCAAATCTTTAATAATAAATAATTTAATAAGAATGGAAGTAAACAAACAAATATTAAAATATTAAATAAATATTATTTTCCCAAAAATATATTACAATAAAATAATAAGGTTAAAATAAAAGTGTTCATTTATTGGCAAATTATTGATAAATAATTAAATTTGTTTATTTTGTTTCAGAATACAAAATTTGATAAGACTTTAAAACCTCTTATACCAGTTACACGATCCTGTAATAGCTTGATAAGACAAATCAAGTATAATTTATATAATGAACCAAACAATGATGATAATATTAATATTTCATATAATTTACTAACCCAGGACGAGAATATAGATACACAAAGCATAATAAATCCATTTGATTTGAAAAAAGAAATATTTTTAAAACGTTTGAGACAAAATATCTCCTCTCATAATAACCATTCTATTGAATTAAGTAATACATATAATTTAATATTTAATAAGAAGATAAATGAAAAGAAGCCAACATCTAGAGTATTAAAAACAGTATTTGTGAATGGTGAATTAGTTCCGGCTAATGAATTATCAAAAAATGATGAAATGGAAGTCAGTGTTGTAAAATCAAAATCATCTGAAAATTACTGTACAAATAAAACTGTTAGTAATATTGAAAGTACTCACCGTTCCCACAGCTCAGGAAGTAGTTCATTGACAAAAGGTTCAAAAAGAAACAAATGTTTTAACAGAAACGAACAAAATAAAAGGTCTTGCAGATCAAAGACCAGGCATGAAAGAAACATAGCAACTGGGAAAAAAAATCCAAATATTGGTTCCAATGGTCAAAGTATAATAAATAGAAATGTTATATCTAATTATAGTACATTACTTGACCATTCAAAGAGTACTATGGATATAAATGCAATGGCTTGTTTATTAAACACTTCATCTCCCAGAGAAAATCAATGGGTAATGAAATCATCAAATCCAGAAACATCTGTCCCTTCACCATTGAATTTAAAATATATGCATGGTAATAATATATCAGAAAGAAACCGGGCTGACCTAGAAAATAGTACTTCTAAAATTAACAATGTAAATAGTGATCAGAATGGTATAGTTTCTCCTTCAAGTGACACCCAGTGGTCCATTAAATCTCCCAGTGAACTGGGTTCTCCAGGATGTAAACTGCCGATGGTTAATGATTCTGAGCATATGGAAGTTGAAACTGTATACTCTGATAATGAAGGCAGTCAAACAACTGAACATATATTACACCTACGATCAATTAATGAAAATGAAAACACTCAAATTTATACATTACCAATGGAACAGAAATCCACTCATATAGAACATTCGTATGTTGAAAATGCTATTACTTCAAATACAAGAGACTTAGAAGTGGTAAATGTATTATCCCCTGTTTCAATTAATTCAACTGATATTCCTATTAGCAAGAGTTCTTGGACTCCTGATATATCAGTACATTTACATAATGATGTTGATGGTGATCATTCTCAATCTTCTTCACAATTAAATGGTTTATGTAATACAATTGGTATCAACAAAAATCGTGTTGCTGTTAATAATCATCACAGTGAAATAGACCATCTAAGTCACATGCAGTTAGAAACGACTCATAGACCAAGGCCACTAAGTTCTTATAATCTAATTGAACCAAGATTATACTCTGATGATCCGTTTATAGCGTCTTTGTCACCCAATGGAAGTTCAGTTTCAAATTCTGGATACAATTCTATATATGAAATGGCACGAACACCTGTATCAGTCCCAATTAAATCTGTTCCTGTTCCAATGTCTTCAAAAGATGTCATACACGAACTAAATGATTCAAATATTAGTATTTATCATGGGAACACATTAAATTTAAGTTTTAATGGAATAAAAAATAAAGCTGCAGAATTAAACCAGGCTTCATATAACTTTGCAATGAATAACGATAGGCCAACTGATATGAGTATTGGTGAAAGAGTATCGCCAAATAACCCAAGTAATATAAACAGTCATAACATTCTTGATGTTGTTTCTGATGAATTTAGTGATATGGACTCAATGGATTTGCGAATAAATAATTCAGACATCAGAGATATTAATTCATGTATAAATAATTTATCAATGTCTAGTTTAATTTCATCAGATTTAAAAACAGCTAATCCGTTTAATAATTTTGAAAAGTCGAGTAATTGGTCTTCCATAAAAAATCCCCAATCAGATATACCAAATCTTCATCAAAAGCAAAATTTAAAAGTATACACGGATCCAACAAAATTAATTCCAGGCCCTATTCATTTAAACACACAATCTGAAGTGCCAATTCATTTGAATGAAACACGAATACAAAAAGCCTTTCTGGGAAATAAAAGTCCTTCTCAAGTGTATTATAGTCCGATGGCTGATTTTTGCATTTCATCTGAAGTAGATATAGCAAATCGTGGAAGTATAGAAGATTCTCAAAAAAATAATTTTAAAAACCAATCGAATATAAGGGACCGGGCAAATACATGTTCAAATGATAAATATACTCATTCATTAATGACACCAACAGATAATGATCCAAATGGAAAACAAACATCTATAATCAGTAATTATGATGGTGTTCATAATCAAAATTCCCCTATTGTGAATAATGGACTTTTATATAAATTTAATAGATCAGATAATAATCCATCTGTTAGGTATGGAAGTCCCATTCAATTACATCATACAAATTCAGATGGTTTGTCACCACAACGTGGTCATAATGGATTGACATATACCAGTTTTGACCAGATACGAGGACAAAGTTTACTGGAAGATCCAAACCTAAAGGAAGACCCGCCTACTATAATCAACATGACACATTTAGTACCCCAATCAAATAAAAATTGTAAAGTCCATTATAAATGGCCATTGACCAAAAAAAAAAGTCAATCAACTACTACAGCAAATGAAAAATTTCAAGAACCTACTCAAAGTTCCGAGTATAAAAGAAATTCTAATGTTGTGTATAAATATAAAGACGATGAGTTTAATTTGACTCAGTTACAGAACATGTCTCCAAATGAACTACCGAACCAAAATTCTAGTGTGACTTTTAATGAGAACAAAAATGATGGATCAGCATTCCAATCCAACCAACAGTTTCAGGGCATATCTGATCTATCTGATCTATCTGACCAATCACCTGTCATTCAATGTGGATCGGAAACGGCTGAAGAAAAAAAGCAAAATCAAGCAAGAATAATTCTTAATTTTGAAAATAATTTACGAAAAGATTCTAGTGATTTTGACACTTTGTACAGGTCTAGTAAAACAACAGGTCAAAGTCATGAACCAAATTCACCATACAATAATGATATTTTGGATGCGGCCCGGACATTATTCCAAAAAAGGAAATTACTTATATGCATGTACCCAAAATGTACAAACAAAATTCATTTCCGTGTAATACCTTCTAATGCTGAGTTGCTACGTCACGAGTTCACTGTACCATTTGATGATTTTCGTTTCAATATTCAGTATAAATATAAACAGCTATTGACTTCAACTTTGAAAACATGGCCAGTTATGCCTGAATTGGCACAATTGGCTAAACGGTGCCCATGCGAAGTTTGTTGTGATTTTGATTCTAAATTGAACCAAAATCAAGATGTGTTAGGTGCATATGTTGAAGGCAGAAGAAGACCTGGTGTTGATAGAAACAATGAAAATCTACCTCAAATTAAATCACGAATAACATTGAGTTGGAAAAAAAATTTGGCAAATCGCTTTAGATCAGAAGCGGTAGCAAAACAAACAATTACTCAAATGATTGATGAAATGCAAGAACATTTAAATAATTTTACATTCTCCTTCACAGCAGTTTTTCCATTATATAAAGATATGAAAACAAATACTGAAGCTTTACAAAAAGCATGTGAAAGTAATTTAAATTTGTTTGATAATGAAAAGCCCTTGGTCTTCGAGTGTTCAAAACTAATTGATATAGTAAATTCAATTTTTGATAAAGAAGCACACCTTTATTCTTATCAATATTTACAATTACCTAAAACAGTACCAAAATATGTTTTGGAAGACAAGTCCAATTCACCATACCAGCTGGCCAACCAAAATATGTCAAGTTTTTCACATCAGTTCGATGAAGAACATTTGCCCAATGAAATTAATAGATATTATGTTGAAAATTCATCTAGTCCTTCATCTCAATCGATTCATTCAAATTTAACTAGCCCTCCGCCAATAAGATATATTCATGAAAATGTACCCAACACATCACATCAATCCGCTGTAGAAAATTTACCCAGTACATCACATCAATCGTCAGTTGGTAGTATAACAAGTTCTCCTCATCAACATGTTTTAAATAATTTTCCCATTACATCACAATGCCAAGAAATTTCTTTGGAAATGTGTTCTTTAAATGAGAGACCAAAAAATCTTAGTAATATCTCTCGTTACTATTCTGACGGACAATTGTGTTCAGAGTTTCCTCCCAATACATATCTTCAAGTTCCTAGTACTCAGTTTCCAAATTCTTCAACCAATTCTTATTATGGCTCCCCAGTAAACATGCCATCAGATACTTCTGTGCCATTTCACTCTCCTAGTTTATCAGCTAACTCTGTGCCTAATTCCCCATCTTCAGATTGCAGTATCCCTTCTTTGGTTGAATCTGCTGCTACTGCTGTACCTGAGCATACTTTGTTAGATGATAGTTTAGAAGCAGTAAATGCTGCGCATAACTTAATGATGATCTCACACCGCCATAGGTACAACAGTACTACTTCGATTACATCTACTAATACTACAAATACTATGACTACTGCAACTACTAATGCTGCAACTGTTTCAAACACCAATGGTTTTAAAACCAAAACTAAAAAAATTTCCCCGTCTAAAACTATTGCCACTAATAATATTTCCCCACCTCGTACCCGTAGTAATGATGTTTCAATTATTATTGTCACCGATACTGTACAGCCTTCTATTACCGAACCAGAGGATCAAGAACCAGAGGTCGTTCATAATAGCCGAAGAAAAAAGAAAAAGAAACATGATAAGAAAAAGGATAAGAAAAAAAAGGGAAAGCGTTGATGATATTTATTAAATAAAGTTTTTTTCCATTGAGTTTTAAGCATAACATTCCGAGCTTAAAAAATGTTAATTGTTAATTAAACTTCATAGATTATTGAAAAGCATGTATTTATGACGTGTTTTGATTTTGATTTACTTTTTAACAAACTGTGATAATTTTCTATTGCTCATTTAATTTCTTTTTAAAAATATTTCTTCATATTTATTAACTTAATATTAAAACATAAACTTCAAAAATTTATTTGAAATCAATAATTTTCGCTAAAATCAATTTTAAAATATTATTTTTTATTTAAATTTAACAAATAAATTGAAAACATGTTTTTGAATTCAATATTTTTTTTTAATACATCTTGATAATAAAAATTAGTTTATGCATTTATTATTATTATTGTTACTTTTTTACAAATGCATCACAGTATTAAAACACAATTTATTTAATAATTATCATCATGAATTCTAAACAAAAAGTGCAACTAAATTGAGAGAGAGATATTAAGTGACAAGTCCATCTATTCTGTTGAACAGAATGTTAATGAAGTCAATTTTTTTTTTTTTTTTTTTTTTTTTTTTTGATGAAATTAAATTAGTCCTAATATTAATTGAGGAATACATTTTTTTATATCATAAGGAATGCTAGATTTCTGACTAAATTAGAGTTAATTGTTAACATATTTATAATACCAGTCTGTTAAGTATTATATAAGGTTTAAGTCATTAATGTAACTTGGTATCACAATTTTAAATCATGCTTGGTATCTGAATAATATTTTAAATTGTATAATTTCAATTTCTCTGGTAATTTTTTGTTTTATTTTTTATAATATAATGTGACTAAAATTTGACATGTTGCATCCGTCAGACCGTCTGTAAATGATTTAGGTAAGCAAGTTGCCTATATATATATATATATATATATATATATATATAATACTAAATTAAACATAGGTTGGTCTGATTTAAAAATTATTTATTAATTATTATTAGTGTTGGCCATGTGCTCTAATATTCATACAGATATTATGGTGCGCTATTCTTTTTCATTAGTCGTGGTGATTTTTATTACACATTTATTATTTTATTTTTAGATTATTTATATTTATAATGACATAATATGCAAGTTACTTTAATAAGACTAAAAATACCAATACAATTTTCTAACAGTAAAAGTACAACCATGAGTTAATAATCACACTAAAATATGAAGATGAAAACAATTTCTAAATTCATAAATAATGTTGAAACATTTTAAGGTTCAGCAACTACCTTTTACTGACCTGTCTATTACTAATTCGATTTGGTTAAGTTATTGTTAAGTCATTATTTTTGAGATGTACTTTGTGAGACATTGTTGATAATCTTTAATATAGATTTTAAGATTAATACATTTTTCAATTTAGTTGAGTTTTAGTTTACCAGTATAATATATAATCAATTTTAGTATAATTTGAATAATTCTATATTAATACAATATGTTGAATGTTATTTGATATTAAATTCTGTACAAAGTGAGGAATATATTTTTTAACTGGAGTTAGTTGAAGCTATTAATATTGCTTAATGAATTATATTATGTTAGTAATTGTATTGTGGGTTAAAATATGAAAAAGAAAATTATATTCATTATGGTGATAATTATATCAATTAAATTATTATACAATTATTTGAGAAACTTTAAAATGTACACCAAATTAATTATTATATTAATAATTCTATAATTTCTTAATATATTAATAAAGTATAAATTTTACTGTTATTATATACCTAACTAATTATTATTAATAATGGATTATCAGATTATCCACTTTGTTTTTTTAACTATTGAATTGTTGTAATTAAATCAAAATTTATTAAATTAAAATTACTCTTTCAATTTAAAATTTTTACATTTATTATGTTTTTTTATCTAAATATTTTTGTCTGGATACAAATGTTAATTTTAGTTGAGTAGTCAATTTGTTGATAAAAATATATTAGATGGACATTCAAATATAAGAGTCATAATAAAAATATGAGATATTTGAGTCAATGAAAATAAACATAGGCATATAAAATACTTGTTTATTTATTTGATGTGTTCTTATAATAAATTAATACATATTTAAGTGTAATTTTTTTGTTATTTAAGAATCTTTAATTATAACATCTTATCATAATTTTTGTTGAGTAATTAGTTATCATTGATTTATTAGTAAAAGTTATTTATTTTTATTCAGTTATTGTTGAGAATAATTATAGAAATATGTATTAATATTGTCTTGTGTCTTCTATGTATGTCGATTGTGTTAATTTTTGTGTTTGTTTAAATTTTATACAATTACAAGTAAGATTTAATGTTACTTATTATTTTTCCAAATGACTGATTGAGCGCTGATTCAAAGTATCAAATTTGATATTGTTGTATAATGTATAATGGATCAATTGTTATGGGGATGATGATGTTGTTTCAAGTGTGTTGTTTCATGTTGATATTCAAAATGAAAAATGAATACAAGAAACAATTTTCATTGATAACTAGCACAGACTAATAGGATATTAGGTATCTAGTTAATATTTTGGTTATTTAAAATTGATTTTGTGCTTGTCCATACCAATTACTTCAATCTTCATATTTGATTTATAAAAATGATATTTGCATGACTTTGTTTTGTTACAGAGTGCTATTATTTCTATTCCAAATTATTGTTATGTTTGATAGTTAATGTTCTTTAAAGATTTATTATTTATCTCACTTTTCTGATGAATGTTATTATAATTTTTGTATGGCGATGTCTAGATGCTTTGAATAGTTGTATGGTTTTATTTGTGTACACTGTAAAAATGATAGTAAAATCAACCCTTGAAAAATCATAAACAATATTGCTAATAATGAAATATTATTTATTACAAATATCAGCTAAATTTTAATTTGCTATCTTTTATTACACTGTATGTGTGTATAAGTTGTATTTTATTTTTCATATTAATAGTACTATTTGATATAAATTATTATTATTTTTTTTGGAATAGGTAACCTGACGCTTTAACCCAATGCAAAATCAAGAATTTTGCAATGATGAATTATAAAACATGGGAGTATCAAATATAACGATTATTGAATCTTCAAGAAACAAATTTAATTCAAACATAGTTATTATGTTTACCAATTGATTCATTACTCTAAAGGTAAACCCTATCTATTAATATTATTCATGTAATTGTGTAAAAACCTTTTTTTTTTTATCTTTACCTTTATCAAAATTTGTAATAAAAAAAAAATATATATATATATACATATAAAAAAAAACCTATAACTATATATATTGACTATATTCAATGTAAAATTAAATGCATTGCTTGTGAAATATTAATATATTTCTGTGGTTTTGTAGTTGTACCAATACATTCAAAGCTATCAAAGTAATGAAAAACAAGATTAATATATAAGAAATTTTGAATTAATTTTCTGTACTCAGTATTTCAAATTATCATTATCAATTACTATTCTAACAAAAGTTTAAACTTTAGCGACAAGGTACGTTTTATTTTTTATTTTAGAGAAAATTTTATATTATCATGTTGTGTATGTTGTGTAATAGTATCATTGAAAATTTTAAAACAAGTTCCAAAATGTATTTAAATATTCGAATTTATTTACTCTACATTTTTCAAATAAGGCAACTCAATTTTATTTATTTATCTAGTTTTGATTCTAGAATTTTTTCGTTGATTTGATTTGGGAATTAAAAGAAGTATATTATGGTCACAATTTAAATAAATTGATTAAATAATATTATATCCTGATATTAGGTTTTGAACTATTAAATTAAATACTGAAATACTGGACTGGATAAAAAACAATAATTATTAAGTATTTAAATAAAAAAATGCATTAATTTAATAACTAATATATCGTCACCGTTGTGCACAAAATGACTAAATGCAAAAAGTGACCAAGTGCAATAATATGGCTAAATAGTTACTATAATCCTCCTATAACTGAAAAAAAAATGACCAACTGAAAATTCCTGAAATATATAAAATATATTCCTAAATATTAGTTATAGGTTGTTGCATTTTGACTAAGTGTTTAATTTTTTTTTTCTATGTGGAAAAATTGTCTTAAGTTATTTAGTCAGTTTTTACATATATTTAGTATAATATTCAATTATAGCCAAGTGTACTTGGTCAGTTTTGTTAAAATGCAATACTGACTAAATACTGTTATAGGAACTGTAAGTACTGTATATTGTTACACACAAAAGATTCTGTGATGATAATATTATTATTATAAAAATAATAAAGTATAAAAATGAGCGAGGAGGAATGTATTGGTTTTACAGTGATGTTTATTTTTTTTTTATGTGCACACTTTTTCTACAAGAAAACATACTGAATTTTATAGTTACAGATAATTTTTATTTCATTATAATTGTAATTTTCAATAATTTTTAAAGTTAAGAAAAAAGTGCCTTTAATTATGTAGAAGGCTGCAATTGCATTATCTAATTGATTATTATTGCTATGACTAATTGACTGTACACTTTTTTTCTCTGAACTTTCAAAAATTAATTAAAAATCACAAATTTATTGATAATAAAAAGGTGATGTCACAGTTTTCAGAAAAATACTCTGTAAAATGGATATTTTCAAATTTTTCAAAAATAATAAAATACATTTTTTTATCAAAACATAAAAATTAATTGAAATATAAATATTTGTAGTCCTTTTTCCTGTGAGTTGAATAAAAAAAACAAAATTTGATTATTTTTATTACCTACAAAAATATTACAATCTTGTAGGTATATCTTTGTAGGATACACTGTATATTTTCTGCAAATTACAATGGCATTAAAACTTGATTCATTTTCAAATTTATCAATCATGATGTATTTATTTAAACATTTTATTTTGTATTAGCTTATAATTATTAACTATTTAATTATAGGAAAAAGAAATTATGATGACATAAAGACCTTATTGAATTTTGAAAAAAATTGAACTATACAATTCATTCTAAGGGTATGAAAGAAAATGTCCACGAATTAAAAATATTTGAAGAAATTCATCATTGTGCATATATACAATTATTACTATATTTATTGTGAGTAAAACATTTTATTTTATATCAATCTACTTAAAAAATAATCACTTTTTAATGCTTATTTAATATATCTAATTAAATTTTATGTAGTAACAAAAACCAGAAAATTCATTATTTAATTAATGTAAGGTATTCAAAAAGATTCAATTCTAAATGATTTTTAATGAGGTAAATTAAACTATTGTAATATCAAGCCCAACAATGTTATACCTATTTTAAAATTTAATTTAATTTTACTGCCAATCCTATAATCGTTTAAAGCATTTTTCTTAATTTTTAAAATTTTAAAATAGTTGTATAATTCCTAATATCTATTATAATAAATAAATTAAATATTTCACATAATTTTCAAATTTGTATAGTTAACTTGAAAACATCTGGGAAGTTTTATACATGTCCATTTTTGCTCAGTGATTGTATACAATTACAAATGAGTACTGTATCCAATATTTTAAGTACATCTGTCATTCCAATAAGTACTTTCTAAAACATATGTGTAAAACAATTATCTCCATTTGTATAGATAGATACAGATGAATATAGAGATATTCATTGATATTTGTAATTTTACTATAAAATTAAATTATAATAGAAAAACAATTGTAATCCATTGCTTTTGTTAGCTGCTTATAGCGGTATTATAACAGCACGTCTATTTATAAAACATATATTTATATTATTTATTAAAAAAAATTAGTCCTGACATGGTTTAGAACTAATATGTTTTTTGTTTTCAGTTTAGCAAAAGAAAATTGCTGAATATTAAATTGAGTAGCTTTGAATAATTGATATAAGCAATATACACCATCAAGACAATAAAATTAATTCTCTGCCATTCGGTTCAGAAAACAAACTATGTTCGAGTCGTCATTTATACCTAATCTTATCAAAAGTGCTTTACCATGCTTCATTTTTAGATTATAGAAATAAAAAAATAATTATTCCATTTTGTCCTAACTGATTATTAACAAAACACAAATTGAATTTAATGATACAATCACGCTAAATCAGTTGATTTGTGATAATACAAAGAATTACTAATAATTTGTTCCCAAGTTAGGTAGGATTTAAACTCAATTGAGGCGCCTATAATTTTTAGTTTTTAGTCCTATGTACACAGCATAAAAAAGATGCTTGTTATTTTTCAATTGTATTACATTTATATTTGTAGGTTTTTTTCATTCATATTTTAGTGGTAATGTTTCCTAATTTATTACGGTCATAACTGATCTCAAAATATTATTATTATTATTTATGATTTCATGTGCTGTCTAATGTTTCAAGGTCAATTTAAAAGATAATTATTTAGGATTTGATTTATTATTATTATTTTGTTATAGTTTTTGTCTGTTATATGCATAGTAATATTATGTTATTATTCAAATACTAATTATTATTAATTTGTACAGGGGAACTATATTATTAGTTTATTATTATTATTGTGACAAATATTAATGTATTCTTCTTTAATTTACGTTAGGAAAAAAAAATGTATTCGCTCATATAATTTAAGTGTTAGCAATTTAGTGTGTCTACTATTTATTATTGTATATAATATTATGTGGGTGTAACTCCAGAGACTATGATTAACTTATATTATAAATTAGTGAATATTATTGTAATCTTTGTATAGTACATACTTATTTATTTAGTATAATACCTAGTATTAGTTCATTAATTAGTTAGGTAGTTAGGTATTTTTTTATTATTGATATCTAAAATCCATAACGTGATTGAAAACAGAATAGTTGTTTTGATTTCTGACTTTTCAATCCTGTCTGTGGTTTTGATGTTCTTGAGAGCTAACAGTTTAGATGCTTGTTTAAAGACTAATCTTTTCCAAAACAAATATGTATGTTTTTAGTAGTTTTAGTATATTTTATCATTATCATACTATTATTATTGCCAATTTTATTATTATTTTTACGATTGTATAAAATCATATTAACAATCCATTTTTACAGAAATGGTTTTTATTATTATTTACAATATTATACATATATATAACCATATTAGGGTTTTATTTGACCTTTGCTTTTAATACAAGATCATTAATAAAAATATTATATTATATCCCTTATAACTTTGTGTAAACCTTGTATCCGTGTATTTTTTCTCGTCTTATTAACTATATATTATAACAACAAATGTTGGTATTTATTAGAACATTAAGAATATTATTATGTTATTATTTACCCAATGTTAATATTGCTTGTTTATGGTTTTATAATATTATAATACGATTAAAAAAAAAAAAAATTGATGTTTAAAAAATGAAATATTATATACTATTTATAAGTAAAAAATATATATATTACTATATAGATTGATGTTATTATTTAATCGTTTGTATGTTTTTTTTTCAATCAATATATACTTTGTGTGTATTATTATGTTATACGTATCAATATCAATAATAAAAATATTATATAAAAAAAAAAAAGAAAAAACCATATCTGTATATTTACTTGTACTATATCATTTCTATTGTATTTACTCGGTTTCACTTACTTAACTGGTACATTACTTTTTCTTCTTTGCGTATTTTTTTTACTTTTCAGACATAGATAGATATTATATATGTTTTATTACATATATATATATATATATATTATGATAGTATCAGTCTGTATATACAAAAAACTACAGAATATTTTGTTGTAAACAGTGAGGAAAAAATATAATGTATATAATGTAAAAAGAACGAAAAACAATGTTCAATATTCACGTTACATGTATTTTGTTATGGTAATCATTGTACAGTTATTGTCGACTGAAATGTGTCTAATCTAAAAATCTAGATTCAATAGAAGTTTGAAATATGACTGAAATTAAAACATAAAGTGTAAGTATGTAATGTCTTGTAAGTTCATTACCTGACAGCATTGAACTCTAGGTAAATTTATTTTATGGCCCAAACGTGCACTATTAATAGCAAGATGAGAACCAAATTCAAGCGCAAGGAGATTGAAAGGTATCAAGGCCCGCAATAAAAAAAAAGTACCTCTCACAATACTTGATTTAAGTACTTATTTTAATTTGAACCTACACAATTAGGTGCATTTTTAATTTTAATTTATTTTCCCTCAATCTCTTATCAACCTGGTATAAAGACTGGGGAATAAAAATTAATGAAACAAAATCCATCCATTATACGTTCACTCTAAGGCAAATAGTCTACCCGCCCATCTTCCTCAACAATGTACCTCTCCCAACCGCCCAAAATGTTAGATACCTAGGTTTACATTTAGACCGCAGGTTAACTTGGGCAACTCACACCCACAACAAGACTTGCCTTAAATAATCGCTCTCGACAATTACGTTATCTCCTCACATCACAACATCTCAACTTAAAAAACAAGCTACTATTATACAAACTCCTACTCAAACCAATCTGGACATACGGTATCCAACTCTGGGGGGCAGCCAAAAAGTCCAACTTAAATAAAATTCAAATCTTCCAATCTAAATGTCTCCGTCAAATAACCAAAGCTCCCTACTTTGTATCTAACGACACTCTACATAAAGATCTAGCTATTCCAACAGTTCAAAACGTTGCAAAAACCTTCTACAAACGCACACACTCCAAGTTCCACAGCCATCGTAATCCCCTGATTACCGAACTATCTACCAACACTATTCCTGGTGACCCCAGAAGGCGTCTAAAACGTACCTGGTGTCGTGACCTACTAATATAAAATTGTTTATACCTCTATCTCCCTAATTTTGTAATCACACCCTCTCCTACTAGCAAACTAAAATTTCTAGCCTAAAATCCTAACCTTAAGTACCTCCANTTGTGTATATTTAAAAAAAAAAAAAAAAAAAAAAAAAAAAAAATTTATTTTGTGTACCTACGTGTTAATAGTTAGGCATAAAATATTATTATCACATTTAACTTTTAGTAGTTAAAATTAATTTTTTAACTTTTTTGTTGAACTGTAATTCAGCTCGAGTTGTAATAATATCCCTAAGAAATAAAATCAATTTTAGAGTTAAAATGAATGTAATAATCATAGTAAATGGTAATACTTAATGATTAATGAATTTTAGATACTGAGTGATGCAAGTTAGTTTTACTATGATAAATATATCATACATTTTTGTCTGACTGTTAAAAAGTGTTTCCTTTGCATTAACTTTAGTTGTGGTTTCAAGCAACAAATTTTGTTTAATTGATGCATTTAGAAGGTCATTTTTTTTATTTTCTTCGTAGAAACTTTTCTTGATGAAGGAACAAAAACCGAAAAAATGTATTAATGTAAAAATTAACATATGCGACGGTTAATATTTCATTGTTTGTTCATTGTTGCTTACGTGATTTATAAAATAATACCTCATCACTCAATAACTACAGTAGTTATAAAACGCTTTTGCACTAATGCACCACCTATGTAGTACCTATATTTATTTATTATTTTACAAAAATATGTAGGCATATACATTATGTGGTCCACCGTAAGTCCACGATTAGGTATACTATAATATTTTACGAGAAAAATATGATTATCGCAGACGTAATATTACCACCAATATTAGTACCACTGATTATCAGTGGTACAACTAGGGGAGGGGGTTGAGGGTTGTGACCACCTCCGAAACATGTTTATGAGTTAAGTAGTACGTATAGTTGTATGATTAATATACGAATTTGGAACAAAATGTTTTAACATCGTGTATAAATAAGTGATAACAGCTATTTACACTACAGCACGTTTCACGAAACTAGCGACTCCGCAGTAGCGCTTTCGATGGCAGATTTTCGTGAGGGTTTTCTGAACGTGTAACTAAAAGAGCACGGTAATTTAAAAATGACACGGCAATCAATCATCAACCAATGTTGAAATATCAAAAAAAAAAAAATGTATATTTTAGTGTATTATAATAAATAATATAATGTATAATGAAATACATTATAAAATAAATAAAATAATTATTTTTATTCATATTTTTTTAAAAACCGTACAGTATTCCAAATTGCCGCGTATTGTGTGCAAGTTTGAGAAACCGCGGAACACCGAAATTTCACCATCGGAAGCGTCACTGCGGAGTCGCCGGTTTCGTGAAACGTACTGTAGGAGGCTAAAAACTTACGTATTTAGGAAAAACTACAGGGCAGCAAAGACTTAATGGAATGGCCACTTTAAACACACACACATAAACATTGGAGTTAAACCAGATTCGGCGCTTGATGAAACGGCGAGGCGCTCTAGATTAGAAGTAGAATTAATTTTAGACTGTAATTATTGTTATTATATTATTAGGAGAACACGGCGGTAAAACGACTGGAAAAATGAATACCTTCATAATTATTCAGGATCTTGAAATATACTCAATTTTTTCGCACAGTTGTATCAAGTCACTTCTTGTTCCAGTGAATATCATATTTATTTTTTAATAAACCGTCAAGTTTTTTTTAACATTTTATCGGTCTGGCCTCAATACCGGGGTAATATCGATTTGTAATGGTGCAATACCGATGCATAGTATGGCAGGTACCTAACCTAACCTAAAATAAATAGATATCAACGATTAGGTATGCATTATAAAAACTGATGAACAATCGGCATTGCTCCAAGCATAATTTTTACAAAATTGTTGATTATTTGTACAATATAATTTGATAAAATTAGGTTAGCGGTTGCAAACCAATATTTACAAGTAGTAAATTCATACTAGACGTGTATGATAATTGCGGTATAGTTCTATCACAGTTTAATCTTAAATACAGAATATGTAAATATAATAATAATTACCTTCAACATGTTTGTTATCGATTAACAATTAAAACAAAAAAAAAACATTGCAGTTGATGTTAACAGTGATAATAACACGTTTCATGATAAGGAATGAAATAATTCTAAAACTGATAATTTTCATCCATAGAATAATGCGTTATAAACAATGTGATTTTTGCCCCAGGGGGAACGCGGCTTTACCCCGTGTTCCTCTACTTTTGCGAGTAATATATATATTTAAATACATAATTAATCTAATGAGTCAAAATTGTTTTCCAATGTGCGTTGTCAATAAATGAAAGTTAAACAATTTAAAGATTTTACTCATAAACCTAACTTGACCTTAACTCCTGCACCCCAACAAATACCATCCAAAATTAAAATTTTTTTCAAATTCATAAAACCCCCTTCGAAAATAAATCCGGGTTGCGCCACTGATTACAATAATGCGGTTTTGTATCATGCGTGTTACGCGATCCAATGTATACAGTGTGCGGTCAACAGTTTACAACAAAGAATTAAATATCCTATTTATTCGCCAGACCAAAAAGAGACACCTACCTAGTCTCGTTGATTAGGAATAGAGAATCATGAACCGCGGACAGATTTTTTTATTGTGCTCTAACGCTACCCATATTGTTCCCGAACGCGTGTTTCGGCAACCGGCTGTGACTTGGGCAATAAAAATCTCGTTTCAATCGGTCTTATATAGACCTCGTTTAATGTACCATACCCATTTCGACTGTTTTATAATTTAGAACCGTATCGAAACGTACAGTCCCGCAATGCAAACCAGTGAGATTAGTTGAGTCCGGTGTGCCCATTGAAAATGTAGTGTATTTATTTTTTATTTTTGGTACCTACCTAAAAATGAATCGTTGTACAATATTCAACAGGTAGTGTTTCCGTAAATACAAAAAGTTGGCACAACACAATCTTGGATTGCCTGTCGTCCTATCAATGAGTTCCAGTCAAACGGCCTATTTTAAGAACGTCGGGTATAACAAGTCTTGAACGGAAAGCTTGTTAGAGATATTTGAGTCGAGTCTCAAGTACCTTCTTACCTATATTGGCTATTATGTCGATTATAATCTAGTTATTTTAGATTCTGGTTTCGTTTTTTTTTAAACATACAAATTAAGGGTTAAGGTTAGCGTTTCAGTTAATACCTGTTCCGAATCGGTTCCAAATATTCATGTTTTTATTTTTTAGTACCTGTGCTAATAGACCACTATTAAAAGGTAACATTTCTAGTGCTGTATTCCTCTTTATTGGGTACTTTTTACTTTACAATTAACGTTTGAGTACGTTTAGTACATTTTATGTACTAAATTGTATTAAATTGTACTTAAATGTATTAAATTTGTATTTACGTACATTTTAACTAAAATGATGAAAAAAATATTTAAGAATTCACAATAATATTGAGTTTTTATTTAATAAATATTTATTTAAATATTAATTTTAGCGTTGCTATCAAACATATCAAATTCGAAATAATAAATAAATAAGGGTGTACAACTATAGGTTTACTTAGATACAGATTTTAACGGAGTACAATAATTTATTATGTACTTTCTTATGTGTTATACTTATATTTAAGTATTAAGAAAAAATGCATTGTAATAAAGAAATAAATCTTTTTAACCCCCCCCCCCCCAAAAAAAAAAAAAATAGATGTGAAATCCGCATTATTTTTAAAAATCAAAAATACAAAACGAAATTAGTAATCGTTATAACTCCTATAACTTCTGAGTCCTACTCATTATTACGTACGTAAATTTAGCATCACGCGTATAACATACTTTAATCAAATATCTCTAACATCCTTAATTCAGACTCGTTAGACATTATTTGAAAGTTGCTAGAATTTGATAGACTTATCATATTCGAGACATGCGTTTTGTGGTGCTTCATGTAACTCCATGCACCACACGAAAGCTCAAACTTGCCCAAACCGGTCTCAAAATAGACGCACATACACGTTTATTACACGTTTTTCGAAAGTTGTTAGAATTTATTTAATGATTTTTCCTTTTATATCATTAATGTTAATACTACTTCAGAGCTAAAATTACACCAGTCGTCACTATAGTGATGTACAATATTAGCGCAACACAATATTATTAGGTACCTAAACCTTTAAACAAGAATTGGACCTGGAAACAAGGTAAATCAAGGAGAACTTAAATTAAACCTAACCACTGGTACTAAATAAGAGATTTTTAAGCCCTATACAGTTATTTATTTTTATTTATTTATTTATTTACATCAGTACGGACGGAGTCCAATTAAAAATATAGATTAAATAAGGTGCTGTAAGTAGTTTAAAAAAATATCTACCTAACTAGGTAGTATACAAATTATTTACACATATTTTTTAATGTTGCAGGTGAACGTATTTCCTAACTTAAGAAAATTCAAGGATTTGTACTGTTGGATTATCTGTGGTTGGGGGAGGCGAAATGATACTTTTGTCACCTCACATAAATATCATAAATATCAGGGGGGATTAGTGCCCCCCACAGCTACGCCAATGTATAGGTATAGTGTAGCACGGTTACATAATATATATTTTACATTTCAAATTTCCTGACAGTGGACGATATTATAGGTATGACATAATATTTATATTTAATGTATGCCCTTGGATAATTTGCTATAAGTCACAAATCATAAATTACGATTTCGCGATTTTTTATTTTGTTTTTCGTTTTACGATCTCTATCTACTCGTACATAATGCATTGTAGTACGGGCCCGTGCTACAATAATATTTCAGTAAACCGAACACATAAAAAAAAAAAAAAAAATCACAATGTTTTTTTGCGAAACCACAGGATAATAATTCCAATGTAATAGGTATGTATTGTGCGCAGAAGGTTGGTATAAATATAAAAAAAAGAAATTGAGATATTATTATTATTGCAGCTTCCGGCGTGATTTTAAATTGTTTGTGCGAACAGACGGACCGTGCAAAAATACACCGGCCATTTGTGTATCGTTTAATTGACTCTACATGTGCTATATATTAACAAATCCGACATTTTATCGTTAGCTATAGACATATACATATGTATAATATTGTATGTATTTTCAAAACGTGCATAAAATGTTGTAGGTATAGGAAACCGTGTAAAATATTCAAATAATTCGCTATTTAAACCATAATATTGTATCGCGTCGACGGTCCAATTCGATCGCACCGTAATATAACATTATCCGTATTATTTCCGCGGATCATTATTTGTCTAACGAAATTGCATGTGTACATTATAGATTACCCGAACACGATAAATAATGTCATTGGCCTTAAATTATCACTTTTCGAAACGGTTTTTTTTATTTTTTTCCAAAAACCGTTTAAAAGTACTCTTTATATACCGGGGAGAATTCGCCGTTTTTTAACAGTATTATCTGCGTAAACGCGCCTACAACTGTACCCATACAGTCTGCAGTAAACTCGATTTACTCGAAACCGTCGGCACACACATATATATATATATAATATATATTCCGCTATATGAATACGAACATGACGGCATTTTTGATTGGAATTTATTTCGTTTTAATAGTAATATTTGTATTATAATTTATAGACCGAATACAGTTATAGTTCGTAAGCTGTAGGTGCGATGGCGTTTTTACACCGTCTTAATTGATTATCTCCACCCTCCCCCCCACCCTCACCCGTCTCGCGTTTTTACAAGTATTATTACGTCAAGTACGACGGGAAAAAACGCCGTGAAACACGAATCTCGAATATTAATATTTATTATGTTATGATTATACTCGTTTACTTCAGGGATTGACTACGTGCGCTGAGGTGGTGATAAAAAATCATCAGGATCTGATGGACGCTGCGGTAAACGGTTTCCTGACGTGCTCGTCAGAACTCAACTTGAATATCGGTAATGTCATTTTAGTATAATTAACTAGGGCTATGCAATATAAGCTAAATATATATGTACACACACGAATAAAAATATTTTTTTACTTTAAGGACGCCTCACACAGTCACGTTTATTCGTCGTCTTTAATACGTCTTGCTAACGAATCATTATTTACATTTATGCATGGCAAGTTCACGTTTAGCAGAACTAATTTTGTGCTGTCGGTTTAAACATTAGAGTGACCTATTGTCAAATTTGAGAGTAAGAATGTTATCCATGTCGGTATATTGGTTTTTTTCTCTTGAAATTCCAATTTTTAAACGAAATACAATATTTTAAAACGATGATATTTCACACACACATACATATCTCCTTTAAAAATTAAAATATCGAAAAAGATACGCACGCAAACACAGGCAAAGTTCTTCCATTCAAATTAAAATAATTAGTTAGTTCACAATAATATTAAACCCAATAGTATAAAATTCGTTCTTCCGAACGAAAATTTCCTATAAAATGCGTTTGTAAGACGGAGACCACAAATGATAGTGTGTGCCATCTTCTAAATTTTTTTGTTCTTTACCAAACCTGGTGCTATTAACGTATTAGGTCTTTTTCGTTAGATTTTAATATTTTACTATACGATACATAATTTAAATAGCTAACGATTATAAATAAATCATCATGCGTTTTGTATTATCAATTACTACAATAAACTTATATGTCTAATTCAGATGGAACTTTCTGCAGTATGATAACGCGTGCAAGTTGGTGGAGCTTTTTTCGAGGACTTTATGAGAAAAATAGAAGTGATGAGTGTTTTAATTAACTATCCTCGGGACTAGAGTTGTTTTCTCTCGCATCCCAATCATATATGTACCAGTCTTATATTTTTGTACCCGTTTGGCACGACTACGCGTCTACGCCCACCGGTTCCCTTTACTAAATGTCTAAAATATCCGTCTATAATGTCTAGATAATGTTATAATATGGGATAGTGAAATTATACTTTTTATTTAAATTATACAGTCGAACTGCACCACTTTAGATCAAATTAAAATTTTTTTTTTTTGAAAAACCACTCATTTTTCTTTCCATTTACAGGTTTAGGGTTGAGCATGACTTTAATGTGGTTTAAAATAAATATTTCAAAAATTATATTTATACATAAAGAAACTAATTTTTAACTAAGTCAAATATTAGTTCGTAAGTGTGAATGGAAATCAGCGTTTTCATAACTTTTTAATTAAGTTTATTTTGTCGAACATTATTGTTGAAACACATTTCTTGGTCCGTGTGCAGTTCGAATATTATTACCTGTTTTTGATCTCAGTGCAGTTTGATCATTACCATGTTCTAACCCAAATGCAATTCGACTAGAATTCGACTTGTATAATAGACAATTAATATAGTCCAAGGGTGGCCGAACGGTCGATCGGGATCGACCGGTAGATCACGGACGGTTTAAATGTCGATCTTTCTATGTTAAAACTTATTTTTATACAATTAAAAGACAAATCACAATAATTACTGATAATTTTTATCTTAATATATCATTATTTTGTTGTCGATTTATCAAGTAATACAACTAAACAGCTTTTATACTGGCAATTGTATTTAAAATAGTGTATATCAATATTAATAAAAGTATGTGACGAAAACAATATTTAAATATACATTTTAGTTTTATTATGTGCACGTGTATGTTTATTACCAATACCTATTAGGTAATTTATAGTTATACATTTTCGTTAGGAAGTCGATCCTCATTGTAAACATATATTTTTAATCTTAGTAGATCTCTACCAAAAAAAAATTTGGCCACCCCTGCATAGTCTATGAGTATACCATTTACCTAAAATAATTACAATATAATTATAGATACGTGTACCGATTTGTTGGACAGCAAGATCGATCACAGCGATAAAAAATACGACGGTTGTAAAGTAAGTATCGCTCGAACGAAAGACTATGAATACCACCTGATATTAAAATAAATATTATTGTTAATAAAAACACGCTTCCATTTCAGTGTATAATGCCGTGCGTGGGTAAAAAAATTGGTACGGTATGTATTAACACGCATTACTTGTTGCGCCGTTTTACTTTACGTACATATTTGGAGGAGGGATTCATGTCATACGTGGAGCTTTTATCGGATTGTTGTTTTAACGCTGGTTCATATTTATGAAAAAGCATAAGGACTCGACTTTTATAGATATAACAAATTAACAGTAATATGAGAGTTTGAGACAAAAATCATTATATATATTTTTATAAGAACACGAAAAGTGTTGACTATAAATATTATAATATTGTTGAAGTCCGTATGATACGTATAATGGATACATATTTTTAATTTTTTATGTTATGTGAAATTAATATAAATCCGAAAACACTGTAGCAGAAATCAAAACGCTACGGATGCTCTAGAAATGCAGTGAATCCCTCTTGATTTGATATAACTTTTTGATACTTAACTGATCTCGATGGTTTTTGTGAGTTTATTGTAGATGGATGTGGAAAACGGTAAGTGGAATGAAGAGAAATATTGGGAAATTATCAAGCTGCTCGAGGTACCTGAATGGAAAGAGCAGGGGGAAATAATCGGGAAAAATTGCGTAGACAGTGAGTCAATATTGTAATTTTTCTCTTAAATAACAAGTTTGATAAAAAAATAATGCGACGTAAAAATAATCAAACGCAAATCCGATTGCGGTTTCGGCTATTCAGATTTTATTATGTGCCGGCAAAATTTCCTCGGAAAATAATATTAATTATCTTCTTAGCTTTTATTCCATGGTCAATAAGTCGACTACTCTTTTGTCGTCTTCCATGTCTATTTCAATTTCTTAATCTTCTTCAAAATCCCTCATATTTCCTCTAAAATAACACTTCTAGTTTACTTTTTATTCATCCTAGATTTGCACCGGCTTCCGTCACACTAACGACTAACACAACTATATTATAATAAATAATTTTTTTTGATTATCTCATATCGTTTCTCATTTTCTTAACATGCTGTCATTTTTTTAATTTTAACGTCGACAATAATTATTTTTATTATGTTTTAAACATTTTTCGTATTGATTATTGAGTAAAATAAACCAATAAAAATCCTTATCGTAATCTTCTTTTTATCACGAAAACACGAATATTTACCTACTTTGTTCGATTTTCCTCGTTTAAAATCAGCTAGGAAACATAATCACTATATAGTCTCATTAAATAAATATTACATTTACGACAATGAGTTGTTCATTTTTCAAATTTTGGACTTTGTGTCATACAATTAATTTATGAGGACGCAACTAACAGACACAATCATTAGTAGTGTTTTTTTTACAAATATACAATACAGATTGCTATCTATAGACTGTTCTGAATTGCTTAATTCTTTAAATTTTATGTCCCTCAACGAAAATCTAGGTCTACTTATACAGTACTTATAACTATGTATTTTTGACACATAATTGCACAGAACATAGAACCACGCTCTAAATGCTTTTTTAATCAGATCCACGAGATTAGCTAATGATACCCAAATTGATCTATTCAATTCATTAATTTGACTATTATTTTTTTACTTGTTATTCAATTCTTCAGTTTCTTAAATTCCCTCTTGTTACTGAACGTATATTGTATGTATATAACATATATTTGGCTTTTAGCCAATTTAAATAAATAATTAATTAATTAATCTACCAAATTTGCGGTCAACAGAACCAGTTTTATATTAGAGGCAATTGAGTTTTTATCAAATTTCAAGGGATAAGAACATTAATAGTGTTTTTAAATTGGTTTTTTTTAAATATTTTAATCTTTAAGCGAGATATAAGCATTTCTAAATGTATTATAATATTTGACACATTTATCAAACAACTCGCTAAAAAATTAAAATGAGAAAAACATTCGACGCACAAACACATATAGTTTACTTCCCTTTGAAAACAGGCCTATTCACTCGAATATTAAAACTAACCGCACAAAACTGGTTTTGCAGCACGAAAATGTGCTATATCGTGCATTCACAAAGGTACGGAGACAGTAAATCTGTGTTTTGTTCTCTTCTAGTTAATGTGCATTTGTGATGGACTTACTATCTATATACTAAAACAAATGTTCGAGCTCCTTTATGAAATAAAATACAGTTTATTAAATTGATATTTGAATTATACAACTAGAATAGTTTTAACGGAATCGTATGTCTTATTTCAGAAGTGAACACCCATTGTTCGGCGGGATATCCGATTTTCCAATGTGCGATGAAACACTCGAAAATGGTACATTTCTTTCCTATTGTAAAAAATAAGCATTAAAACGCATTATTTTTTTGTTTGTATATAGTTTCAATCAATGTCTGAGGGTTATCTGAAACATAAACAAGCGAACCTAGAAGCGGCAAACAACACGAATATCGAATACGAAGACGTCTAGGACGAAAATCTTGAAAATATACTTTAGATATTGTTTAGTATTTTTTTTTTTTCGGTAGTACATAACATCTTATCTCGAATATTGTATTAATACATTATTTAAAATCAAATATTATACCGCTTAAACGATGTTATTTCATAATATATTAGGTAAAATATGCACACTACACATTTTTTAAATTCATTTGTACTATACGAACACATAAATGCAGAAAAGGCTTTTCAGAACCATTAAAAATAGAATTCAAAACCCAAAGAAATGAACAAGAAAGAACGACGGGAGAAATCTACATAATTTGCTACAGAGCAGCACCTTATGTACAAGATGCCGTTTTTAATCAAACCAGCGAATACAAGCCATCAATCCAAGAACAGCTCCTCCAAATCTCCAAATCGGTGTATACACCGTAACAGCATGTAACCTATACACACGAGAAACATCTAGTTCTCCCACCCCTATTTTTCCTATTTTTCGTCGCAAAAGCGGACGGTATACTTACTTTTTTTGATGATTGTTAAGTTATTTCAAACGATATCAAACTGACTGTATTGTAAAGATAACTTTTATTTTGTATTCAGAATACCTATTCGAATAAATGAGTAAAAAAGTATTTAGAATACGTAATCGAAAAGTTAAAAAAAATATATTCAGAATATTATATTATATTCAAAAAGTATTTGAATTCTTTTAAAATATTTATTTTATCCTAATTTTAGTCAATTTCAGAAGTTCTGAAATTAACGTTTTATGGATTAATATTTTATTAAAGTAAATTAATTATTGAATAGTACTAATCAAATATGATGTTTTTATATTAGGCCAATTCTTAAATTTCGATTCAATATAAAACTTAAATATAACGTTAATAATTTATAAAATAATCGTGAAAAACTACGATTTAAGATTTAGATTAATAATTATTATTGGTTTCAGAAGAAAAATAATTTTTTAGAGAATAATAATAAATACAAAAATAATATTCAAAATACGTGTTAAAGATTTAAATAAATAGTATTCGAATACATAAAAGTATTAAATTTCTTTTCTTTGAATAAATGTATTCAAATATTTTACTGGACTGTAAATAGGGGACTTGGAAATCAAAAGGCTGACGAAATTGACTCATAAAAATAAAAAAAAAAACAATCACACTTTATGTACTTAATGCAAATATATTTAAAATTTTAATAATTTGATCACATCGTCAGTACCCCCTGCCCCTCCCCCGAAAAAAAATTAAATGTGTGTAAGAACCCATAGCTCTTTTTTTCGAATCATAAACAACTGGTGAATTTGATCAAGCTAGTAGTTTATCCTGTGAATACGTTGTGATTTTCTATTGAATGTGCCCGATTTGACCGTATATGAGCCGCTATCAAAAACTACGAAATGGTCGTATAATGTATGTATACAGTATTCCGAATCAATTATATTAATTTCTCGGTTCTTTGTTCAACGCTCGTGTTCAATAACAACGGCACTATCGAATACGACATTTTCATCACCTGAAAATATTATCACGACATCAAATATTTTCATTTTTATGTATAGCTTGGCGGATAATAATTTTTAAAAGCTCACCCTTGGAAATGGAGAACATTTCCAAATTTATTATGGAAAGCGGTGACAGTTTTATTATGCGTTTATGGCAAGAATTCATGCTCATCGCCAACAACAGGGTCTTTTTGAATTTCAAATCCATCTCCGTCCAATTGCTACTGTATAAGCCGAAATTCACTGCAGATTTCTGCAAACGACGAAGAAAATCTATATAACAGTTTACTGAATTGGGTTAAAGCGTTGGGTTAGGTTGGATGTTTTGTTCTTACGGCCGTTTCGATGTGGGTGAATGCATAACAATAGAAAAACAATCGCATCACAATGATTATAAAACCGGAGAAAAATTGTATTATCGGCATGGATAATAAGGACCAACCGGTCACGTATAACTGTAAAGAAAAATAATTGTAACTCGTTATTCAATGGGTACCCACATCAGTAATTGCAAAGATATTGTGTGCTTATTACTAGCGAAGTGAAAAATATCATCAGAATAGCCGATATCGAACCCATTGTTATTTGGACTAGGACCACAGGACGAATGACAGGTCGAAATATTCATCGTATTTCCTGTGTTGCACACAAATTATTGTAGTCTAAGTCCAAATTAATATTAAGATACATCCGTCAAGTTGGCATTACTAAAATAGTATAGATTATAACTTATAATATATATATCTTATATATAAAATTATCG